ATGGAGGCTGAGCATTTAAAAGAGAATTAATTTAAATTACAATACAATTATTATTATTATAGAAAAGATTATGGGAAAGAGCAGGACATTGGTATAAGAGAATATAAGTCAAATTAATGAGCTATCATCAGCATAAACTTAATGAGTTAGCTGTCCTTTTGTGCCATACTTTGTATGAATCCAATGATAATAGTAAATAATAATCCTTACATTTGATATAGCACCTTATCACATCATCAAGATGTCGCAAAGGGCTTCACAGGATATATTGTAAACTGGTATGTTAGTGTTTATTTTGTGGACAACGTGGCAGCCAGAGCATCAAGCACTGATTAATGTACCTCAAACAACCATTATTTTTTGTGAGATCGTTGGCCAGGATACTGGGATAAATCGCATTCTCTTTTTGAAGGGTGAGCTAGCATATTGATGACTTTTAGTTGTAGTTTGTTGCTATGGAATCTTTAACATCCACCTGATGACAAATGAGACTTTGGTTGACCATCTTATCTGAAGGATGGAATCTCCAACTATTAAACACTCCCCCCACCCCACCCCAATCCCCCAACGCTGCACTGGAGTGTAAGCCTAGATCACACTAGTGTGGGTATTATGAAAGGATGAGATCAATCAGGCCAAAAGTCTTGGTGCATTCTTTTGACAGTCGACATTTTTGTAATATTACTGATCAGAAAAATGTTGGTTCTGTATCATGTTATTCATTAGAATTTATTTTCAGCGCCTTTGGACGTCCGCCCGGTGTGACACATGCTAAATAAGTGCAATTTATTGCTGTAGTTGTATAACCATAGAAATTTACAGAGAGGAAGGTCCATATCCCTGAACTGGTTCTACAGTCATGACACTTGACTATCAAACTCTTCTCTTTTCGAATAGTATCATGGGATCCTTAACTTCATTTTTGGGGCAAATTCTTGGGCAGGTTTCCTTACTCCACAAGCCTCTTTTTACCAAATAGTAAGTAGGACCTCGTTTGTTAGGCAATTGGCAAGTGGCTTTCTGTGGATGATAATCCCTCCAAAAAAAAGTGGTCACTCAATCCATGACTGTTTGTGGGTCACTGCTGTGTGCAATTGGCTACCGCTTTATTATTATTATTATATTGGAGTCCTGTAGCTCAGTGGTTAGAGCACTCGCTTTGCAAGTGAGAGACCTGAGTTCAATTCCAGACAGGGCGAAACCTTGGGCAAGTTTCCTTGCTCCACACGCCTAATAATAATCCCTCCAAAACCAAAAAAAAAATAATAAATTGGTCATTTTCGATCTACAACTGTTTGTGGGACGTTGCTGCTCGCAATTGTCTGCCGCGTTCTCCCACAAATATACAGTCAATTCACTTTGCAGTGTGTTCTGTGAAGCGCTTTGGGACGTCCTCCCGACGTGAAAAGCGCTATATCAAATGCAAGGATTATTGTTATTATTATTATTCAAGCAAGGATTATTTTATTATGAAACTGTGGTCATGGTTCAGCAGCTATCAGCTAGCCGGGAGAGACCAGAAGCAAGATTGGGTGATCACTTTGCTGAACACCTCCATTCCATCCAAGAGTGCAACCCAGCGTTCCGGTTGCTTGCCACTTTAATTCTCCTTCCCACTCTGACCTCTCTGTCCATGGCCTTCTACGCTGTTACAATGAAGCACAACAGAAGCTCGAGGAACCGCACTTCATCTCTTAGGCACCTTACAACCCTCTGGCCTCAACATTGATTTTAACCACTTCAGATTTTAAGCACAGCTCCCATCTTCTCTCAGGCTTGTCTTCTCCCCTCCCCCTTTTCTATAACCATTCACACATCTTCTGGGTCTCAGACACATAGATAATTATTTGGGGAGGACAAGTTTGCAGGGCTATGGGTAGAGAGTGGGGGAGTGGGATTGATTTGGATAGCTCTCTTCAAAGAGCCGGCACAGACACAATGGGCCAAATGACCTCCTTCTGAGTTGTATAATTCTATGATTCTGTGATCTTTTCTTTCTTTAATCTCCCACTATTGCCTTCTTTTGTCTTGCAATAACACCACCTCTGATCTCATCACCTCCTTTCCTACACCGACGTTTTTCTTTTGTCTTTCTTTCCCCACCCCCTTCTCAGCTTGTCTTTATAATCTTCTCCCTTCCAACATTCCTCAGTTCCGACAAAAGGTCATCGACCTGCTTCGTTAACTCACTTTCCTCGCTCCATAGATGCTGCCTGACCTGCTGAGTGTTCCCAACGACTTCTGTTTTTCTTCATACTGGATTCGGGACCCAGTACGCACCGTTGCTGCAGGTGCTTATTGATCCAAAGGGCTACTGATCTCTCCCCACCTGCCTCAATCTTGATTCCAGGCCATGCAGTCGAGTCATTCATCCATTCCACTTTCCATATGTGACCTGTACTGATTCATTGCTCTGTTAGAACTATATGAGAGTCCACCCAAATCAGCACTGTAATTAGCAATTGATCACATTTCCAGATTTAGTTAATAATTATTCTTGACTTTGATACAGTACAATACAGATTTCCGTTTATATAGCACCTTATCACATCATCGTCTTCGCAAAGAAGTGGCAGAACTGGTTGTACCAGAAGTGCTGTAGCTTGTAGCTGGCAGCAAGCAGCTATGATGTTTTGATTATGACTGCGAAAATCTCCAAGGGTTCAGCCTTCTGACTGGAGGAGGATGTACAACACAATTAGTATTTATATAGTGCCCTTCATTTGGGTTAATGTCTTGGGAGTTATTAGCAATGCACACAGACATGCACTCTTTGAAAACGGGAAACTTTTAAGGGCTGTCTATTAGAGCACCCGGATCTATTAGGCTACGGTAGAGGTGCACTGCTTGGTGTTTGTTTGGAACATGTTGTGGTGTGGGGTGGAGTCGTGTTTTGTGTAAACCATGAATAACCTTTGTCCTCATTAATGTTATTATAGATTTGGACTTGAATCATATTCAATTTCATTAATTGTAACCAGAGTTACACCTCAGTATTCAACAAGGTCCAAGCTTGCACAGATAGGTTCTTGTCTAATAGAAAATTATACTGTCCTCACATAATCTCTGCACATGCCTTTTAACCATGTACCACCGATGGTCACGATAGTTAACAAAATGATCACTGGTTCAGTGATTAGAGTGTGCTGCACCATCGGAGGTGCCGTCCTTCAGACGAGACAAGACACCACCTGCCTTTTCAGGTGCATGTTAAAGATCCCTTGACGCTCTTTTAAGAGTTTCTCCCCATGTCCTGGCCAATAATTCCCCGATTAAAACCAATCGATCATTCACTTTATTGCTGTGTGAAAATTGGTGGCTGTGTTTGCCTACGGACACTAATATCTTGTGAAATGCTTTGAAATGTCTCGAAGACATAAGGCTATGTCAAATGCAAGGTTTATTATTCTTATCACAGCAGAAAACCCACAACACTACTTTGCACTATTATCATCTTACATCACAGTCAAATCTCTTTGAATCTGAGAATGTGGTCAGCTGGATGGCTTGCTCCGTGCATGTTCCGTCACTAGAAGAAAATGACCAACTTCTGGGTCATTTAGGCACTGCCGACATCCTTTCCTGTTTGACTCACTTGCCCCATTTATACTTCTGGAAGCAATGCAATAGCACTTCCAGAGCAAGATCAATGCAAACAAACAGATTTAGAATGTCAACTTTCACCAAATGATTTTAAATTCATTGTCAGGTCCCAGTTTGTACCATTAATTTGTGCTGCCATTTTGGGTTTATGATTGTTTGTTGCTTGGACTGTGAGGTAATTCTGTGAAAGATGAAAGATACCTCACTTGGATGAAGTCAGTTCACTTTACAGTCTATTCTGTGAAGCGCTTTGATATGTCTAGAAGATGTGAAAAGCGCTATATCAAATGCAAGGATTATTATTATAATTGTACTGAATCGGACAGTAAATAATTTATCTTGCACATGTTCTAACACTCACTATTTGGTGATATATTGTGAAGATCATCTCTTCACGATTTAACATTTGCGTAAGTCTTATGCACATTATATGATTATTGGTAAGAAAACACTGAGCTGCATCAGTTTAAGCAATCATTTCATGTGGCACATGATCTCCAAGTTCTTACAAATGATGCAATCATGGTTTGTTTCCGTCTGTGTGTACACTAAGTATTCACACACATCAAAAATACATCATTTTCTGTGTCATTTCTTTGATATTCTCACTCGTGTGTTTACTGAAAATATTTTGTACAACAATGGGTCCAACTACAATGAGATCACTGTTGACAAACATCCACCGAAACAGGTGAACATTATCGTCAATGAGTTAGTTTACCAAAGGGACTGAAGCACAAGATGGAGCTGTGCATTTTGAGAAGAATCCTTCTGATGTGAACATTGTCACTAAGCTGCTCCAAAGCCCATCCCACTGTCCCACCCCACAGCTGCCCTACTGCTGTCACAGCCCTGCACCACCGCCCCAGCAGACCTCACTGATCGATCTGAGGCAGATCCAAAACAATATTGTGAATCTATTATCGAATTTGGGCCTTTAACCAATATTAAACTGTGTTCCCAAGTGAATCATGCACAAATACTGAAAAAGAAGCAGTGAATGATAAACGGAGTCACAAGTTACAGCTAATACATTACTTGCTGCCGGCAAGCAGACTGCCTTCACAAATGCCCTTAATTTGATCGCTCTGCAGACCAGGACTGGAAAGTGGATAAGGGGCAAGTCAGATAGATCAATCACTGAGAGTTGTTACCTGGTCACTGCAGTGCATCAGGGGGACATTTCTGAGCTTCAGATTAAGGTAAATTGTTGGGATGGTTTGAAGGGGGAGGAGAGATTAAAATGGTTGGGAGTTCTGCTTTAATATACCTAGCTCAGTTTAATACTGACCGCAGTTGAAAATAAACTAAAATACATATCTCCAAGTATCAAAATTCCTTCCCTGAATTCATATGTAACCTTAAGCTAAAAAACAAATGAAACCACAAGTTGCATATTCCAGAAATTCACTGCATTTTATTTTCTGATTTCATAAGTACATGATACAGGTTCTTTAATACACCCAAAGCCACTGAAGGATGCTGAATGGTTGTGTTGCAGACAAAGTGTTTCAGGTAGTGCAGAATCAGAAATAAACAAGAGTACAGTCTGGACAGGTGTGCCAGTCCTTTACAGTTAAGGTGAAATTTGTACTGTTTGTAGCTTTTAGTACATTTCCTGACCGAACTTGGAAACACTAGAATTGTGCTGACTGAAGCTCTGCAATGTCGGAAGTAACACATTCATGTCTTTGTAGCACAAAATATTTCAGCAGTAAACATTTCCTACAAATATAGCATCCTTCCCCCCTAGATATTTAAATTGCTTTAAATATATAAATCCAGTTTGAGAACTTCAGAAGAGAAAACAATACTTCTTTCAGTGAGTTAAAACTAGAATTAGTAAATTGCTTTAAAAAATTTCTATCAGTATAATTGGCTGGTGTTTAAACTTACAGGAAACACTTTACATCCCCAAAAAAACATGCTGCAGCAGCTCTCCAGAGAATTTGAAAGGAACCACAGATATTTATACAGAAGCACGTTCCCAACCAAAAAAGACAGTTGCACAGTGGTCAGTTTTGAAACCAGGGCCTGTAGAAGGAAAAGGCAATTAAAATCAAAATATAGTGTCCTTCCCCCTTAGATATTTAAACTTATATTTACCTATATTTAAAAAGGGAGATAGAACAAGCCCAGGGAACTATAGACCTGTCAGTTTAACATCGGTGGTAGGAAAGATAATGGAATCCTTACTGAAGGAGGTAATAGAAAAACATCTAGAAACGGAAAACATAATGAAGGATAGTCAGCACGGATTTCAAAAAGGAAGGTCATGCTTGACCAACCTCATTGAATTTTTTGAAGAGGTAACAGTAAGAGTAGGTAAGAGTAATGCAGTAATATATTTGGATTTCCAAAAGGCATTCGATAGGGTACCACATAATAGACTAATGAATAAGGTCAGAACATGTGGAGTCAGGGGAAAAGTAGCAGAATGGATAGCAAGGTGGCAACAAGACAGAAACAGAGAGTAGGGGTAAAGGGTAGCTACTCAGACTGGCAGAGGATAGGAAGTGGTTTTCCACAAGGATCGGTATTGGGTCCATTGTTGTTCACAATATACATTAATGATTTGGACTCAGGAATTGAAAGTGCAATTTCAAAATTTGCGGATGACACCAAATTGGGGGGAGTACTTAATACAGGAGGACTGCAGCAAACTACAGCAAGACATTAATAAACTTGCTGAATGGGCATTTAAATGGCAAATACATTTCAGTGTAGAAAAGTGTGAGGTGGTACATTTTGATAGAAGGAATAAGGAAGTCACATACATTCTGGAAAATAAAAACCTAAATGGGATAGAGGAGCAAAGGGACCTAGGGGCACACATACACCATTCACTAAAAGTAGCAACGCAGGTTAATAAGGCCATGAAAAAGGCAAATCAAGCATTGGGGTTCATTTCTAGAGGGATAGAAATGAAAGCAGGGAAGTTATGGTAAACTTCTATAGAACCTTGGTTAGACCACACTTAAGACTACTGTGTGCAGTTCTGGTCCCCACATTATAGAAGGGATGTAGAAACACCGGAGAGGGTGCAAAGGAGATTCACAAGGATGATCCCAGACCTGAGAGGTTATACCAATCAGGAAAGACTGAACATGGTTGGACTCTTCTCTTGCAAAGAGGAGGATGTAAGTTACATTTTAGCTATATTTGGAAATTCAACAAATGAGCAGGAATTAAGTTACCGGCCATTAAAAATGAATGTAATAATTTTGAATTTTTTGGTACCTGTTTTGCAGGTTTTAACGCTTGCGGCTTTTCTTTGAGCTAGATTTTGTAGAAGTATGCTCTTTTGCCTATTTTAAAAGAAAAAAAGAAGAAACAAGTATTGAGATGAAATCTTGCCATGTGAGATCATAATGCACTTGAGCAAAGAGAAGTGGATTTTGATGTTTAGGCAAACTTAATGTTTCCATTATAATAATAATTCTTGCCTTTGATAATAGCACCTTATCACGTCTTCAAGACCCTTCAAAGACCTTCACGGAATATACTGTAAAGTGAATTGACTATATATTTTGTGGATGAAACGCGCTAGCCAATTGCGCACAGCAGTGTCCCACAAACAGTCGTGGGTTGAATTGCCCAATTTATTATATATATTTTTTGAAGGAATTATTACCCCCAGAAAAGCAATCCGCCAATTGACTAACAACTGGGTTCCAACTTACTGCTAGGTAAACAGAGGTGCGTGGAGTAAGGAAACTCACCCAACATTATGTTCAAATGAGAGAAAAGCGCAATACATTCGAATTCAAGATCCTTATCCTCACCTACAAGGCCATTCACGGCCTCGCTCCCTCCTACCTCTCCAACCTACTATCCCCCTATCTACTTGCCCATACCCTCCGTTCCTCTGGCTCCGGTCTGCTCCACATCCCCCGCCCCAACTGCCCTACCATCGGTGGCCGAGCCTTCAGCCTCTCAGCCCCTGGGCTCTGGAACTCCATCCCCCAGTGCCTTCGCCGCCTCCTCCCTTTCCTCCTTCAAGGCCGGTCTCAAGACCTTTCTCTTTGACCGTGCCTTCAGCTCCCCTCTCAACACCCTCCTCGCCCCCTCCCTTCCCTCCCCTCACCCTGACCATTTCCACCCTCCCTCCCTTCCCTCCCCTCACCCTGACCATTTCCCCCCTCCCTCCCTTCCCTCCCCTCACCCTGACCATTTCCCCCCTGCTTGGGTCCTGACCCAACTGTCCAGCGCTTTGGGACGTCCTCCCGACGTGAAATGCGCTCTATAAATGGAATCTTGTTGTTGTTGTACATTACCTTACATGCTAAAGTCCTCAGTGTGTTCATTGAGAGTTTATCAAGATGATCTTTCTGACTTAGTTAAGCAAATATAAGCAATGCTTCTAAATTCCCCAATCTCCAATCTAAGATACTTTGGAAACACCATGGTCTCCACCAGGAGAGACACCCTTCTTTATGCCTCACTTCAGCCCAAATTGTTTGGGGATTTGTTGATGATGATGAGAAACTGATATTTAATTGTTTAGCAAATTTCAACAGCTGCAGACTGAGAGCAAACCTAGAGCATGTCTAGTCTTGTTTCTGTACACAGGCTTTGCAAGTCTGTATTATATGAAGAACCTTGCTTGTCTCACAAATACTTCACTAAGCTTACAAAGCTAGGCAAATCATCACGCCCATCCCAATCCATTTGTAAATTCCCATGGTAAGTTCCATTTTCGTACCCATTGTTATTTCTAAATAAATGAGCGATTATTATTAATAATAATTTATAAATTTGTAGGCAAAAATATATATGATCCAGATTGCACTGTTCAAAAATTCTGGCTGTATTTGATTTTGAACTCCTTTTCTTCCATTCTATTCTTTTCTCGTAAATAAAACCCAAATAATAGTCCAAGCATATAATCATGAATTAGTGCCGTCTGAGCAATTACAGATCAGATCCAGATTGTCTGGTAAGACCAATGCCTCTACTCCCAAAGATATCCTCTGGAAAGGCAAACTGGCCTTCATTTGACCTGTCTTCCGCCAGTGCACAGAACGGGAAATCCCTCCTCATCAGGCCTTCCCAACTCTTCCCTTCACAAGCTGCATATCATCCAAAATTCTGCAGCTCGTGTACTCTCACGCACCAGGCTCCGTGACCCCATACTCCCACCCTCGCCTGACTCCACTGGCTTCCCATCCCCCAGAGGATTGAGTTCAAGATCCTCGTCCTCACCTTTAAGGCCATCCATGGCCTTGCCCGCCCTCCTACCTCTCTGACCTGCTGACTCCCTACGAGCCTGCCCGTTCCCTCCGTTCATCGGGCTCTGGCCTGCTCCATGTCTCCTGCCCGACCCGCCTTACCATCGGTGGCCAGGCTTTCAGCCTCTCTGCCCCCACACTCTGGAACTCCATCCCACGGTCCCTTCACATCGCTTCCTCCCTTGCCTCCTTCGAGGCCGATCTCAAGACCTTTCTCTTCGACCGTGCCTTTGGTTTCCCTCCCACTGCCTTCCCTCACCCCTACACCATCCCTCCCCCATGCTCGGGCCCCGACACCTGACTGTTCAGTGCTTTGGGACGTCCTCCCGACGTGGAAAGCGCTCTATAAATGTAATTTTGTTGTTGTTGTGTTTTCAAACATTAACTTTATTGCTGTAATGTTTTTTAGAAACGTTTTGGTAAGGATTGCTTATCCTGTGCATTCTTTTGGACAGCCTGTAATTCATCTCCCATATGTGGTAAAAGAAAAGCAGAAAAGTCTGTGATAGCACTACCTTTTGTCTCTTCCTGCTAACTTCACTGATTGCTAGATTCAACACAATTTTATATGTAATCTCTGCAGATAACTAAACCTGACCATAGAATTAATCTGCAATTCCATTTCGTATAAACAATTTTTTTCACTAATTCACACATTGGGCAATAAATGAAGGGTAGTGCATTGTCTGAGGAAATCATCTTGATAATGTTTGTATTTACCTTTGCTGATTTAGATGCTGTGTCTTTGGCTTTGGTGGGTGATGTTGGGGATGTAGGTGATTTAGGAGATTTAGGCGATGTAGGTGATGTAGGCGAAGTTTCAATGCTTAAGCCTCCTGCTTTATTATCCATCTGTGGGATGGACCACATTTGCTCAATGTTAAAATAGAACACTGCAGATTTGTATTCACTGGCAGTATAGCATTGATTGAGTGTGCAAGGCTGTAATGACACCTCATTGAGACTCATTATAGCACCAATGCAGCAGATGAGCAAAGAGGGAAAAGAAAAGGAATAGGACAGAGAACTAGGCTCATCACATAACGTCTCTGACACTAGGAAGATGGATGCATAGTGAAAACATGATCCGTAGGTTACATTTGTGCTGAAATGATGATAGCATATTAAGCATAAAGATGAAACCCTGAATATAACAGTGTATAAGGTGGAGAATGAACGCTGCTTGAAATTAACCAGAGAATTAATCAGGATTGTGACATTCTGGAGACAAGGTGTGTGATTATGTAACTCACAGGCCTGCAATGCTGAAATGGATTTTAAACAGAGATAAAGAGGCTTTTCAGTTAAAAGACGTGGACCTGACAAGAGTTGACCAAAGACAGTCATACCTTCTTCTGCTTAGTTCCTCCAGCTTGTGATTTAGACATCAAAGTTTCAGAATTCTGGCCAAAGTCCAATGACATTGCGTCCATAACTTGAGTCTCCGTCATCTGTTAGAAGCAAAGCCATATCAATTATAGATACACCGAGGAAAATTTAAATACTTTATTTCGCTTTCACAAGATTGAGATAAAAGTAAAACTATAAGAGAAGCAATTCTCCTTACCGAGTATTAAACACAATTTAAGCACTTTGTTTGTAAAACATCATGTAAACGAGTGAGTTGTGCAAATTGTCAAAACTTTGTGTGAACAGATTTGTACAAAACCAATTTGTACTTATTTAGATTGTTTCCCAGAACGAAAATGTCTCAAAGTGCTTTACAAAGACTGGGCAGGAGCCCAGCTAGTAGAGAAAAACGTCTTTAGATGAGTTTTGAAAACAGAGAGAAGGATGCTGGAAGGGAGTTGTAAAGGTTGGGAGCAAAATGTCTGAAGGCTTGTCTGCCGGTGGGGCAGAGCAGGTAGGGGACACGAAGCAGGCCAGCAGGCCAGAGTTGGTTAGGAATGGGTTTAAGATTGTAAGATTAAACACAAGATTGTGATTGCATTTTAATGGAATGTGACAGATATTGTCCTGCAGAATTGAAGTACTGACATCTGTGTAAAGCAGAGTTAAAAAAACAAGAGTTTGGAATTATATCTAGAGTGTTACAAGATTGCTTTTGGATGTGAACTTATTAAATGGTCAGTGATGTACAAAATGAATCCAGAAGGATGTTTCTCTTTGTGTCCTGGCCAACAATCCCTCTGAATAAAATTGGTCTCTCACTTCATGGCAATGGCTGTTGGTGGGACACTGCTGTGTGCAAATTGCCTTTGGAGTTCGCCCACAAAATTACAGTCACTCCACATTACATTATGTCCTGTGAAGCACTTTGGGATGTGCTCCAGATCTAAAAGGTGCTATAGTAACTGTAAGGATTATTACATATTTGTACCTAAGCCAATGAGACAGCTCAGTCATTGAAAGGGGAACTGAATGGATTCCTCGTTCAGCACAGAGTTAATCACAAATGGTCAAATTAAATCCTAGTTCTTCACCTGGAAGGGTTGAATCACCTTTTCTCATTTTTGTATTCCTAAAATATCATCATTTTAATAGTAAAGTTGTTTTCAGCCATTTGGCAATTGCTGCCTGGAACTCCATTCTTAGGTCCCTTCCGCCTCAAAATGTATTTCTCACCACGCTTTCAGGCATCTTTCCCCTCCTTGCCCCAGCTTAGCCCCCACCCTTGACTCCTCTGCTCAACCAGAATTGCCAGCAGCCTTGGGATGTACTCCTGGCATGAAAGGCGCTGTATAATTGTACAATAATAATCCATGCATTTGACGTACCCCAGAAGGATGTCTCAAAGTGTTTTACAGAATTTTTATTGTAAAATGATTGTGTTGTGTAGGTAAAATTGGCAGCCAATTTGTGCACAAGCAATGTCTGATATAAAGTCATAAAGTGAGTGGCCAATTTTATCTGGGGTATTGGTGGCCAAGTCACCGGTACAAACTCCCTTCTCTTTTCAAATAGTGTCACAGGATCTTTACCATCTACTTGAACAGGAAGACGGGACCTTGGTTTACCATATCATCTGAAGGACAACATTTCCATTAAAGTAACAAACCTAAAGTATTGCATTGAAGTGTCAGCCTAAACTATGTGAGCTCACATAGTGAGCTTGATGTTCGGCTTGAACCTAGAACCTTCTGACTCTGAGGTGGGAGTAGCATGAACTTAACCAGGCTGACTGACACCTTGTGCAGTGCTGAAAAATATATTTCTGTAAGAAGCTAAAAAAAAATTTAATTTGCAAAAAAATGTTTACCTTTGATTTCTTTGACAGATCAATAGCAGCTCCAACTGCTGGGCCCTTATTATCTGTATCCTGTGGAACCAAAGAAGCTGTAACAAAATCTTTCCATAATCCAGCAGAATGATAATTAAAGCAAATGGTCATATATCAATCGCCGAATAAATAAACACATCATATTTGTAACTACACTTGGACCCATATGATATAAAGCATTGTAATGTTCAGGGCTCCTTTCATAAATCCATAGAAGATATAGCTCAAAAACGGGCCATTCAGTTCATCAAGTTCAGCTGATGTTTATAGTCCACACTAGAGCCTAACCTAGATCTAGAGCACGACCCACCCGTACCCCACCAGCCCGCACTGGGGCACAGACAACCCCTGGCAGGTGGACAGAGACCCCCCAGGAGGCAGGGCACAGAGAGACGCACCCCCAGGAGGCGGGGCAGAGGTAAAGAATGCTCTAAAATTGGTGCATATTTTTATACCAATCATTTAGCTAATTCTCTATATAATTGCCTTGCAGATGCTTTATGGCATTTGACATCAGTTTAGTTTAAATGCTACATTATAATTGGGGACCTTTTCACACCAGACCATTGTTCTCTCAACACACATTGTGAAGCTTTCACCACTGAGGCATAATTCAAACAATGAATGGTGATGCTATTCACAGCACTGACCTCAGGTTTAAATCGGTAATCGGGTGGTAGAGAACTCTCCCGTTCGCCCACTTTGTTTGCAAGCTTCTCAGTAGCTGTTTTTTCCTGTAAACAATATAAGACTCTCAAAAAAAGAAAGTAAAACATACATAGTTGCATATTGAATTAATTTACCTTAATGCAAAGAAAGTGGATTATGCTGATGTTAGGAGAGCTAAATCAATATTTAGTTATAATATAATCCTTGCATTTTGATATAGCGCTTTTCACGTCTTCTAGACGTCTCAAAGCGCTTCACAGAATATACTGCTAAGTGAATTGACTGTATATTTGTGGGCGAAACGTGGCAGCCAATTGTGCACAGCAGTGTCCCAGAAACAGTCGGGGATTGAAGTGACCATTTTATTATTGTTTTTCTTTCTTGAGGGATTATTATCAGGCATATGGAGTAAGGAAACTTGTCCAAAGTTGTGCCTTGCCGGGAATCAAACCCAGGTCTCTCGCTTGCGAGGTGAGTGCTCTAACCACTGAGCTACTGAGTTATTCATATGAAATAAAAACTAAAAAGTGCATGTGCTTGTTAGGCTGGTTAGTTCACTTTCTTTCTGATCTACTGAGTGTATGCTTTGCAGTATCCAAACCAGACTGAATTTCATATATGTATGTCACCAACACATGGAAATTTCCCATTTCTCTGGAATGGAATGTGCACTCTCTCTCTCAGGAGGGAAGCACACTGCTTAACTAATTCTGGAAATTAGGCACAGGTTGGCAAGAACCAAGGTTTGGGAACCTCAGAGTGTGTGTTGTACTGCTGCAGTTTAACCAACTAAAACTGTTCAGCTTGCAATCGAGAGCACCATCTGGCAAGCTTCCCACTTCTTGTCCAATTAGGACCACTTTGTTAGGGCTTGCAGGAACAACAGGAGCTGTTAGGGAAGAATCCCTGTCCCCAATAACTGGTCTACGCCTCCTGCTTCCTTGGTAAGCAGTGCAGCTCAGTGTGAAATGTGCGAGACCACTGTCGCCATCCTCCATTAATCAGTTGAACCACATTGGCTCAGAACAAGATTTTGTCAACGGGTATTACCAGAGAGTTGACAGGATCTCTCAGGCAGAAGGAAAGCCATAGAAAAACATCCAGCAGCTTGTTCAGTTTGTACTTGTTTTGCCCACAAAATACAGTCAATCCACTTTACTTCAAAATATATGTAGCGCTTTGAGATGTCTCAATGACGTGATAAGGTGCTATGTTAAATGTGAGGATTATTTTTATTACTTTCACATGGTTTAAAAATTTGTGTGCTATGACTTACGTAACAAGATCTTTTTCAATTTACCCCCTTGGCGGGTAAATCAATTTACCTCTATCTGTCCATATCTCTGGCAAGCAGGCATACAGTGCAGAGGTTCAGTGTGATTCAAAGATGGTGACACAGAACGTTACAAAGACAATGGCTTCAAAAATGGCAATCCGATATATGACAAAGATGGCGCTAGCCAAATTTTAAGTTCTTGCAGCTGATGTTGATGATTGGATTTTGAAAATGGCATTTCCAATGCTGCTTTCCAGAGAAACAATCAATACCTTTAACTTAGAAAGCTGCAATGTAACTGCAATGCTCCTTCAAAAACAGCAGGCCTGCCCAATGAGAATCAAAGCGATGGCTCTAAACACTTTAAACCAGCCTTCATCACTACCATTGTTCAGACGAATGGTTGGGGGGGTAATTCCTCAAATAAGGAATGGACACATTTAGTATTATCACTATTTTTATCCCAAACACAACTGAATTCATGAATACCTTAACTTCAGGCCCAGTGTACTTAGGACCTGAATGGACTGGGGTTTCTGGTTGAAGCATGTCTGAGAGTTCATCAAGAGCTCCCATATCTCCAATTTTACCCTATAAAACAAAAGCACAGTTTTAACATACAGACTATGTCTAGCTGAACGTTACAGCACTTTGGTAAGCTCTCCAAACCAGGCAAAAATCAGTTAATGATTCTGTTACTGCAATCCTGATCTAGGCACCACATTTCTTTGCAAAACTATTATGAATATCGCAAGAGTCAAGAACTGGGTCTCCTTATAATTACTCTTAGTAAATGCTGGAACGAATTCTACTGAACTGGTGAGTAAAACACTATGGCATAAGATCAATCTAGCATGTGCAAATGTTCACTCCCTTTCACTATAAGATGCCAACTTTTGATGAAATAAACTAGTTGATGTGATTTTCTATTTTGACAGTGCTTTAATTGTCAGCTTTTAAACATGATCTCTGGCTCCCGTACTCATGACCAGCGGTAATTTGAACCATTCAGATCATCAGCTAATAAGTTATGTTACACATTATTTATAAGTTTACTCTATTTGATTACTCCTCGTCTTCCTTGTCCTGCCTGATGCCGTTAGTTGAGACTGTGTCTTTCTATTTCTTCTCGTAGGCAGACATGATTGAGGTAGTGGCTCAGCAGATGGCAATTCAAATCTGAACCTATGAATACTTATAATGTGACTTCTACTAGAAAGACATAATCACTATTTTTTGCTTACACCATCTGATAAACCCTGCAATCTTAAAGAGCCTGAACATGGCTTCAATTCTCAACCATCTCCGTGAAAGAGACCAAAGAACAATGCTCGGTGTAAACTGGAAACATAAATTGTCAGACGTTAATAAAGATCTCCATTTTATTTGTCACCCACCTGAGCAGCAGACTGACTTGCAGAAACTGAAGAAGCTGATGTGGCTTTCACAAATTCACATTCACTTTGATCCTTTGTAGAAGAGAGAATGAAGGTTAATTGCATCAGTATTCACAATGACTGCTGCACTTTGAGATTCTGGGTGCAAACACTTCAGCAAGACTTCTAATGCCATTCACGAGCTTGTAAAATGGACTCTTTAGCCTTCTTCCTGGGATACTGGCCTAACTCAAATTGAATTGGGCCAGAGTCCTCTGAATGAACCGGAAGAGTTTTAGGCAATCAAATGTAAAGATTTATTATTATAATTATTCCAAGATAAAAGCATCAATAGCTTTGGCACTACCAGTATTCAGAAGTTAGGTGGGAGGGTATTTGAAAGACATTTAATATCATTCCTTCAATAAGGAACAGCATTTCTTTGAACCACTGAACAAATCAGGTCTGAGTCATGTTGGAAAACATACTGTGTGAATATATGAATCACATGTTGCGATGCTTAAATTTAATTTTAAACGGAGATGAGAAAATTTTAGGTTAATAACATGGCCTGATCTAGACATATCAGAAGGGAGGCATACCTTTTTCAGCATAGGTGCTGCAGAGTGTGACTGTGCAGCTGCTGACTGTGTAATGGTAGCTGGAGAGCTCTGTATGAAGTCTGATGCCATAGCGTCCAAAAGGTCAACCTTTGAGAGAAGTTGTCAGAACAAATAAACTTTAATAATCTCACAAATAGCAAGTAAAATTAACCAATTTAATCATGAATTACATCAATTGCATTAAATAGAATTAAGGGAACCTTTACAGGGCAGAACTTTCTTTACCAGATTTTGAGAAGAACCTTTGTCCTTTTAGTGTCTCTCATTACATTGAAATGTCTCAAAGTGCTTTACAGTAACTAGTCAAAAGTAGTCATTTGTTGTAGGAAAATGCAGTAGCTGTTGTGCACATAGCAATATCCCACAATCTGTCATCACATAAATGACCAATTGACCTGGAAGACTGTTGACAATGTCATCAAGAGAATCTCCCTTTCCCTTTGATTTAACATGACACAAGTGCACAAATTGACTCATTATTCAGCATAGAGCAGAGGGATCTGCTTGGGATAAAATTAAACACAAAATGGTCAAACTGAATCCTAGTTCTTCACCTGCATAGGTTAAACTATTTTTGCTCATTTCAGTCCTTTTATATTATGTTGAAAAATACATCTCTTTTTCAACGTTACCCATGGAGCTAAATAATTATCAAAAATTAAAAAATAAAACATCAGTAAATGAACCCCATGTCAAAGTAACACGTCACCTCTGGTTTCTTTACTGGATCAGTGGGAGCACCAACAACTGAGCCTTTTTTATCTGTTCCCTGTGGAATCAAACAAACTGTAATGAAATACTTGCATGATGAAGTGAAATGATACAGAAATAAAGAAAAGGTCAAATAGCAACAGTAAAATCACTAAACATATTTCATATTATAACAACTCTCCCTTATATATAGTCAGTTCACACAGGGAAAACATTTCAAACATACTTTGCAAAGATGAAATTGGTGCCTGAGCTGGATGGGGTTGGGGTGGTGGAGGAATGTAGGGAGGAAGTGGGTACAAGCACAGTGAGATAGGTTAGAGATTGGTTTCGGAAGCAGACTGATAAATTGCAGCTATAGCAATTTTGTAGCAAGTGCACAACTGGATTGTTTTTAAACGGTATTTCATAGCCCTCTTCCTTTTCCATATTGGAACCCAATAGAGATATTCTACTGCATTTTTAAAGTTTAAACACCAAGTCATGACTCAGATGGTGATGTTATTCACAGCAACGATCTTAGGATAAAATCTGTAAAAAAACAATCCAGATGTTCTCTGAACACAGCAGTATTTTGAGAGGTCCAATTCTCAGGTTTAATTCAAATGGTGATGTTATTCACTGCACTGACCTCAAGAATGAATCGGTAATCAGGTGGTAAAGAATCCTCCCGCTCGCCCACTTTGTCTGCAAGCTTCTCACGAGCTGCTTTTTCCTAAAGACAGAAAATAAAGTTTAAAATGTATAACAAGCACAGTTCATGTATTCATTTACTGTGCTCAATAAAAAGGAGGCTCTTAAGGTAGAAAAATTAAATCAATTTGTACTTATTTCATTTAAGCAAAGTCCTGTCCACACAAGGTACATTAAGACCAAGGTCTGTCTGGCTAGTCCAGCTGAACCAGGTTGGTTATGATTAAGTGTTTGGACAAAGAGCAGTTCCAATTCACTGTGTGTTTTGTGGGCGAAACACGGCAGTTAATTGTGCACTACAGCGTCCGACAAACAGTCACGGATTGAGTGACAAAATTATTACTTTTTCTTGAAGGAATTATTACCCCTGGAAAAGCGATCCGCCAATTGAACCAGGTTCCTACTTACTGCTAGGTAAACAGAGGTACGTGGAGTAAGGAAACTTGCCCAATGTTTCGCTCCACCCAGCAAATAAACCCAGGTCCACTCGCTTGCGAGGAAAGTGCTCACTTCCCACACCACCCTATATATACTCATACATACAAATTAACATCAAAGATAATAGAATTCATGAGACCAGCATCATTGGTACCTTAACTTCAGGTCCAGTGTACTTAGGACCTGAATGAACTGGGGCTTCTGGTTGAAGCATGTCTGAGAGTGCATCAAGAGCTCCCATATCTCCATTTTTACCCTATAAAACAAAACCACAGTTTTCAACATCCACACAATCTTTAGCTGAATGGTGACTGAAAGCAATATCATAGGAACACAGAAAAATGGGAACAACAGGAGGCCATTCAGCCTATCAAACCTGTTCCACCAATTTATTAGATCCTGGTAGTTCTTTCAATCACTATTTCCTACCCTGAATCCAATATTCGACTTGGAATCTGTCTGTAAAACCACATTGTCTCAAAATATAAGAATATGCAACAGCATTCTGGAAAATTCAGAAAAAAAATCAATCTTCATTTGGAAAACTTCTACAGTTCTTAGAAACACCAATTTACAAATTAAGAATTTCTGTTTAGTTTTCAGTTCTAAAACAGGATTTTGCAGACTAAGACCTGGTGGAATTTCAAGCCTCTATATGATGTGAAAGAGGTTATCAGTGTCTCAGGATTCAACAAAAAAATTAAACTCAAGACTAAATGGCCCTAACTTGTCTAATAGCTTATTCTTCTAAGACTGGGGAACATCCTCATTGCTCTCCTTTGTATTGCCTCTAGGGCCTTGGTCAGTGCCCTTCGGTCACCGCGACTAAAACTGAATACAGTACACTAGGGGCGGCCTGACCAGAGGACTGTACAGCCCCAGTATGACTTCTGTGATCTGAACTCAACAAATTTGGCAAATAGCCCCAATCCTGTGCTTCTTATCTTTAATTTAGCATGTGTGTGTACTCAGTGTAGGCTGACAAGCAAGCACTATATGCAGGAGAGAGGGGAGGAGAGAGAGGCTGATAATGTGGGGGATGATAATGGGATTATTATTGGAAACAAGTAAGTTTTTCTAAGTGATAGATAAAGGAGGGTGGGAGGACTGGCATTGCATTGGACTATAGTTAGAGAGTTTGACTTCTGATGGAAATACCATTCAGTTAGTACTGTACATCTCACACAATAGAACTGCACAATGAGCTGATATCCACATTCTTGAGATTCACAATGGGCTTCACCAGTCGCTATTTGTGTAGATAATGGGGTCTCTACTTACTGGACCTTAGTCTGTGAATCCAGGTCACTTACGTGTACAAGGAACAGAAGGGGGTTCAGCACAAATCTGGGAGGCATCTCAAAAAATACCTCTCTGGTTTCACCCTAGCTCCCCTCCCTAAACACCCACTGCTTCCTTGCATTAAGGCATTATACATCCACCTGCATGCCTTATCCTGGTTGGCAAAGGGTTCTCTTGCATGGTACTTTGTGGCATTTTGGAAACCTGTTTTTTCCCCGGTAATAATCCCATTAGCACTGACTGGTTGGCACTCGCATTATAAAGACATAGTGAAAAAAAATGTGGGGTTGAGCAGTTATTGTATGATATAATTCTATCCTAACACGGTTTCATTTTTCAACCCTGTATAATAGACTCAGTTAAAGACCGACAGTCAGTTTCCATCATAAACAGAAATTCTCAATCATTGCTAAAGGTCTCCCATTTTCTCGTTACTCACTTTAGGAGCAGGTTGACTTGCAGAAACAGAACAAGCTGCTGAGGCTTTCACAGGTTCAATTTGATCCTTTATAGAAAAGAATAATAATTGATTACGTCAGGTTTCATTGCCTCCAATGATCGCTACAGGTTTAATAATACTCCCTGCATTTGATATAGTACCTTTGATGTCAAGAGGATTTCTTATAGTGTCCAACAGGATTTACTGCAAAGTGCAGTGACTTGTGTGCAAATTGGCTGCTGCTTTTACGTACAAAATACAGTGATTACACTTTACAGTATAGTATATCCTATGAAGCGATTTGACACATCCTCCCACCCTGAAAGGCGCTATATCAAATGCAAGGGTTATTATTACTGCACAGGAAGGATTTTCAAGTTAAAAATTGATCAACACTTGACAGAAGGGAGTCATACCTTTGTCTGCTTAGGAGGTGCAGCATGTGAAGATGCCACTGCAGACTGTGTAATGATAGCTGGTGAGCTCTGTGCAAAGTCTGATGCCATAGCGTCCAGAACGTCAGCATTGGTCAAAAGCTGTCAGGACACCAAACAATAAGGAATATATTTTATTAATGCAAATCTGAAATCTACCTATAAACCTAAATGATTTTACCAGCAAATACTCAACATTGAATCTAAAACATGTGTAGAATAACTACTATATCTTTTCCAGAGAAAGAAACATCATATAAGTACATGATTTAAATGACAAGTCTAGTGGGACTTGGGCTAAGTAAAATAAATCTCAATTTTCTTGGACTCACCTAACTCACACCCATGTAAAAGCTGTTTCTCGGCATTCTCCCTACTACCAGAGGATAATTTTTGACACAACACTCATTTTATTCACTTCAAAAGAACAATGGCCTAAAGGGATCAACTGAGAAGCCAGCTCAGAACATCTTTTTGCTAGTCCAGCACTTAACCCAACTGCCTACAACACTGTTGTTGTAATATTGTTTTCCCTATCAGGTAGCTACAGTACCTATTGAAAAAATAGAAGGGGGTTTATCATGGTGTCTTGGCTAACAATCCCCCAAATTAAAAAAATGGTAATTAATTCCATGGATATTTGCGAACATTCCTGTGCGCAAATTGACTGCTGCGTTCGCCTAAAAATACAGTCACTACACTTTATAGTATATCCTCTGAAATGTTTTGGGAAGTTTTGACGATGTGATAATCCTTATCAAGTACAAGTATTATTATCATAAACCCCTTTGATCTGAACTGGCTCCAAGGTGATGTGTTTGGTAATGGAATGGCAGAATTGATCTGTCCTTCTGTGGCGGACTCCAGAAGTGTGAGAGGTGGTGGGATGGCATTATTCCAGATTACGTGACTCGATGCATCTTGACCCGTCACTGGAGGTGCACTTACTGACAAACAATGGGATCGCATTGAATCGTGGGAAATGAAGGTCAATGCAAACATCGACAGATCAAGGCAACTTTTCTCACGATTCAACGCCGACGGCCGGTTAAGTGCACTCGCATCAATGGGTCTGGATGTCATTTCCCATGATTCAATACAGCCGGTAAGTCTGGGGGTAATGGAAAATAGGGTTTACTGATTAGGAGGTGATAAATACGACTCGTGCAAAGTAATCTAAGTGGTTTTGATAGGAAACTGAATGGAACTCAGGTGTATGTATGACTTGGACAATTATACGATTTATAAAACATGTCAATTTTACTGAAATCCCATGAGATCTTTAACGTCCACCTGAACAGACAGAAGGGACCTCAATTTAACATCTCATCTGAAGGGCAGCATCTCCAGCAAAACAATGCCCCCAGCACTGTCTTGTAGTGTCAGACTAGACTTTGCGTTCAAATTCCCAACATGTGGCTTGAACCTACAACGCTTTGTTTCAGAGGAAACTGATATGAAGATAGACATTTTAGCAAGAAGCTAAATATCAGCTACAGTTTGCATACAAATACAATCAACCTCTTGATGCCAATAATTGAGTGTCATGCATCAGGAAGACTTTACCTCTGGCTTCTTTGCTGTATCAGTGGAGACAGGAACAGCTGGGCCCTTTTTAGCTATGTCCTGTGAACCAAACAAATTGTCATTTATCCTTCCAGAATACAGAAACACGATGTTGAATTAAACAAATGGTCAAACAACAGAACTGGAACACTAACAGAACGTCTTAGTTCTATTTTCAATTGAAGCCATATGGAAACCTAGTAGTGTTCAGGATTCTTGTTCCAATATCTGGGCACGTCAGAACGACAGTGTGAGCCAGTGGCTGTGTAATAAACTAGGTTCCTGGTCACTATGTTTTTCATTGCAACTATCAACATTACGAACCTAATCGTAACACACACTTTATTTTACAAGTTACACTTACGTAGCACCTTTCATGGTGGGAGGACATCCCAAAGTGTTTTACATAAGCCAGAACATAGAAATCAGCCATCAAATTCACATCAGGACTTCACCGACTATTCTGGGGGTAGGATGGAGGGGAGGGTGGGGGAACAGTGACCGATGAACGGGTGAGCAGGAGGGACGCTCATTTTTCTGGTGTACTGAAGCTGGGTTATAATCTCTTGAGAGATGCTACCCTGCATGAAGTGGATTCTGGAATAGGTGAGAATACAGGCTTTGGGTATTCAATAGGAAGTTATATTGTAAAACAATTTTTCCTTTATGTGTGAATATCAGAATTGAAAATAAAATCATCCAGATATTCCCTCAACAGAGGAATATTTTGAGAAGTTAAATTTTCAGGCTTTATTCTGATAACTGCTGATAACTCCCCTTCCAGCCACATTCCTTCACTGACACAGACTGAGAGACTGTATTTAAATAGGTGATGTTATTCACAGCACTGACCTCAGGATTGAATCGGTAATCGGGTGGTAAAGAATCCTCCCGCTCGCCCACTTTGTCTGCAAGCTTCTCACGAGCTGTTTTTTCCTAAAAACAGAAAATAAAGTTTAAAATGTATAACAACCACAGTTCATGTATTTATTATTTATTGATTGCTTGGTTTACTATAGTTTCACCTTATTTTGACGTGGAATGCAATGAGTCATTTTAACCCCCTGAATATCTTTTAATATCCCTCTTGGCAAATTCTATACCATTGGAATCCCACCAATCTTTGCGTCCAATGCACATTTGTTTGTATTGAATGTCATTTGTCATAGATAAGCCTAGAAGCATTTCCAAGTCAGAATGCTTGATTTTGAAATCCCCTTCACCACGATATCTGGGAGTTTAATTGTAGATATGTACATATATCTACACATCTGATAATATCAACTTAACAAATAATATTAATGTCAAATGGTTCACAAATGTTAATCAAAGATATAAAGATTCTTGAGACCAGCATCACTGATACCTTAACTTCAGGGCCAGTGTATATAGGACCTGAATGGACTGGGGCCTCAGGTTGAAGCATGTCTGAAAGTGCATCCAAAGCTCCCATATCTCCTGTTGTACCCTATAAAATAAAAGGAAGTTTTCAACATTCACACAACTCTACCTGAACTGTATCTGAAAGCAAAGTCATAGGAATGTAGAAAAATGAGAGCAGGAAGAGGTCATTGAACCTGTTCCACCAACCTGGCAGCTCTTTTAATGACAATTTTCCCACTCTCTTGCGTTCATACCTCTACTATCTAAGTATTTGTCTGTATCTCTTTTAAACATTCCTATCGATTCCATCTCTACAGCTTTCTGGGGTAGAACATTCCACATCTTCACAGCCCTCGAAGTGAAGCACTGCTTTCTGACCTCATCTCTAATTGCTCTAACACATTTGATCCAAAATTCGACTTTGATTCTGCCTGCAGGACCATATTGTCTCCACAATTTAGAATTGTGTAACAGAATTCAGGAAAATTAAAAAATTCAGTCTTCATTTGGAAAATGGTCTTTTGCAGTTCTTACAATCACCAACTTACAAATTAAGTATTTTGCACAATTCTGTTTAATCTTCAATGCTAAGCTTTACAGACTAAGAATTTCAAGCCTCTATATGATGCGGTCACTTGATCTCAACACAACATTTCTTCACAAACAGGTTATGAGTATCTTAGGATCTATTCTAGCGCATTGGGTTGTCCACCCGACGTGAAAGGCATTACACAAACGTAATTTTGTTATTGAACAGAGAAATCAAACTCAAGACTAAATGGCCCTAACTTGTCTTATAGCTCAGAGCTTATCTCCTATATCCTCATTGCTCTCCTCTGCATTGCCAATAGGGCCTTGGTCAGTCCTCTTATGTCGCAGTGACTAAAACTACATACAATACTCCAGGGGTGGCCTGAGCAGAACACTATACAGCTCCAGTATGACTTCTGTGATCTGAACCCAACTGACTTGGCAAATAGACCCAGTTCTATGCTTTTTACATTATCATTAATTTAGCATGTGTGTGTACTTAGCATAGTCTGACATGCAAGTATAGTGCAGGGGGGAGGGGAGGAGAGAGAAAGAGAGAGGCTGGTCATGTATGGGATACCTGAGTGTGAGATAAAGGAGGGTGGGAGGACTAACCATGCATTCTACTATAGTTAGACAATTTAACTTCTGATAGAAATAGTTTTCAGTTAGTACTGTACATCTCACACAATAGAACTACACAATGAGCTGATGTCCACACTCTTGAGATTCACAATTAGTGTGGATATCGGGGTCTCTACTTATTGTACCTTAGTCTGTGAATCCGGGTCTTCTCAAAAAATACCCTAGCTCCCCACTCTAATTACCCACTGCTTCCTTTGCTTTAAGGCATTGCAAATCCACCTGCATGCCTTATGCTCATATCCTGACACTGTATGGCAAAGGATTCTCCTGCCTGGTACTTTGTGATGTTTGGGAAACCTATTTATTTCCCCATATTTCCCCATTTAATGCAACCTCCTATATATATCATTGTGAAAAAAAATCATTGGTTTCAGCAAATTATTTCATATTATAATTTACACCCAAAAAGCTTTATTTCTCAATGCTGTTCCATAGACTCGGTTAGAGCCCAACAGTCAGTTTATATTGTAAACAGAAATTCGCAATCATGACTAACGCTCACACATTTTCGTCACTCACCTTAGGAGCAGGTTGACTTGCAGACACTGAACAAGCTGCTGACATTTTTACAGGTTCAATTTGATCCTTTGTAGAAAAGAATGAAGATTAATTATTTATGTGTCATTGTAAGGTGCAGTGAATTGGTATGCTCAAATTAGCTGCTGCATTCAGCTACAAAATATTGATTACATTTTACAGTATAATATATCCTATGAAGCTATTTGACACATCCTCCCACCCTGAAAGGCACTATATCAAACACAAGCATTATTATTACATGAGAAGGATTTTCAAGTTAAAAACTGATCAAGTCTTGACAGAAGGGAGACATACCTTTGTCTGCTTAGGAGGTGAAGCATGTGAAGATGCCACTGCAGACTGTGTAATGATAGCTGGGGAGCTTTGTGCAAAGTCTGATGCCATAGCGTCCAGAACGTCAGTACCGGTCAAAAGCTGTCAGGACAACAAACAATAAGGAATATATTTTATTAACGTAAATCTGAAATCCACCTATAAAACTAAATGATTTTACCAACAAATACTCAACATTGAATCTAAAACATGTGTAGAATAATTACTATATCTTTTTCAAGAAAGATATATCATAGAAGGGATCAACTGAGAATCCGACCCACAATATCTTCTTGCAATTACAGTACTCAACTTAATTGTCTACAACATTGTTGTAACATTGATTTCCTTACCAATTAGCCATGGGGAATGCAATACAGTCACTACACTTTACAGTATATCCTATGAAGCACTTTGAGACATCTCAATAACATGATAAAGCACCATATCAAATGCAAGGATTATTACTATAACTATCTTAACTCATCATATCTGTCCAATGCTAGAATAACCCTCACAGTTGGACCCAATCCTCTGCTTATACACGTGTGGTGTAAATCTCAACAAAAGAACTTCAGGTTTATTAAGTGGGCGAGGTCACTGGAGGAGACTTCATTTGAAACTATGGAAATATCTGAAACCATTAAAGCCAAACTCATTTATTGCATCATATATCAGGAAAATAATAAGAGGAAACCAGATGTGGTAGCAAACAAAAGGTAAACCCTTATTAACAAACAGCCAAACACCATCAATGGTGGGATCTGGCTCCTACCTCAGACTCACTTTGGCATACTACCCAGAGTGCTTTTATACCTATTTATAGGTTCATAACTCCTTCCTCTCGGGCCATCCTGTTCATTTCTCAAACTGGGGAACCTGGGCTGTCTCACTGTGCTGCTCCAAGCCACGAGTTGGGCCTGTGGATGTAGGTTGTTGTGGTCTCTGCTATTCTGAGACTATCTGTTGATCAGGGCTTCCCAAAGTTTCGGAGGTGGTGGCCTGGTGTTATTCCAGTTCTCATGGCCGGGCGTTGAATCCAGTCTTATCTTTGATGTCGGTTTTCTCAGCTTTTACAGAAAACGGGTTTCAAAATTAAGGCTGTATTTTAGAATTTGCCAAATTCTGGACCCTCGAAAATTCAAATTACAAGTGGAAGCATTAAATTTGTCTTTCTAAGTTCTTACATTCTTTATGTAATGTTGATAATAATAAATACTGAATTTGATATAGGCTGCATCAAGTCGAACAAATGTCTCCATGGCCCTCACACGATATATTGTAAAGCAGGGATGTCCAATACTTTAGTCACATGAGGCAAATTGGGAATCCAGATGTGACAAAATTTGCATTTTTAATTAGTAAACTAAAAAAATGAGTAACAGACAGCATCGTTGGGCATGTGATCTCATATTTGCATAGCGTATGCATGTATACTTTGACCCTTTCATGTATTTGTTGGTAAAATGGTAAGACAAAAAGCACCGTGTGCAAGTGTTTTTTGATGTTGTGTATCTTTACTTCCACTGTTACTGCTTATTGGTTATCTGCTAAAATAGTGTGTAACGTGGGTGAAAACATCGGATTGAGCAAGTCTTGTGAAAGAAAAAGAAATAAACAGCCCCTGCTCTCCACTCAGAACGTGGTTGGATGCTGTTTGCCCTTTTCCATGACAAGCCCTGTTGGAGCTACTCATTATCGACTGGGCTTGTTTTCTTGTGCTGGTCGAGCTGTCCATGACAGCTCATCCCTGCATACAATATTGCTGCTGCAATTTAGCGTTTACACTCTGGTTACAGGTGAAAGGATTGACAGCCTGCCAACTTAGTGAAAAAGAGACTGGCAAGTTTCACACTGAATTTGGTAGATGTTTGTAAGTATATGTTTGTTAAGTAAATATACGTGTAGACATACATGTGAAGTACATTTACCTGTATTGTGTGAGTGTATGTAAGGCGTTTTGTACTAAAATTAGTGCATGTGGCTCACCAGCAATTTTTATTGGACAACACTGCTGTAAAGTGCAGTGACTACGTATTTTGTAGGTTAACATGGCAACCAATTTTCTCCACAGCAATGTCTCAAGGACAGTCATGAAGTGAACGACCAATTTTACTTGGGGGACTGTTGGCCAGCATAATGGGAGGAACTTCCAGTTCTTTTTAAATAGTCACACAAGATCTTTAACATCCATCTCAACAGACAGCAAGAAGCTAAATATTAGCTACAATTTACAAAAAAAATTAACCTCTTGATACCAGTAAATGAGAGTCAAGCATCAGGAAGACTTTACCTCTGGCTTCTTTGCTGTATCAGTGGAGACTGGAACAGCTGGGCCCTTTTTAGCTATGTCCTGTGAACCAAACAAACTGCAATTTATCCTTCCATAATACAGAAACATGATGTTGAATTAAAGCAAATGGTCAAACAACAGAAATGGAACACTAACAGTACATCTTAATTCTATTTCCAATTGAAGCCATACGGAAACCTAGTAGTGTTCAGGATTCTTGGTTCAACATTTGGGTATGTCAGAATGACAACGTGAGCCAGTGGCTGTGTAATAAACTAGGTTCCTGGTCACCACATTTTTCATTGCAACTATCAACATTACAAATCCAATTGTAACACACACTTTACTTTACAATTTGCACTTACGTAGCACCTTTCATGGTGGGAGGACATCCCAAAGTGTTACATAAAGAAGCCAGAACACAGCAAAAAACAGCCATTAAATTCACATCAGGATTTCACTGATCACTCCGGGGTAGGGCTGAGAGATGGGGTGCAAGAATAGTGAGTGATGAACTGATAAGCAGAGGGGACGCTTATTTTTATGGTGTATGCTCTGAGAGATGCTACCCGGTGTGAAGCATACTGTATAAAAGCAAGTTGTTGTTCTTGTTACTGGTGTAGGATGGGGTAATGAGTGGATTCTGGGGTCAGTGAGAATACAGGCTTTGGGTATTCAGTAAGAAGTTATGTTGTGAAAGTTAAAGAAGTTAAATTCCTCCAGATGTTCTCTGAACAGAGGAGTATTTTGAGAGGTTAATTCAAATGGTGATGTGATGCACAGCACTGACCTCAGGATTGAATCGGTAATCAGGTGGTAAAGAATCCTCCCGCTCGCCCACTTTGTCTGCAAGCTTCTCATGAGCTTTTTTCTCCTAAAAATAAAAAATCAAGTTTAAAATGTATAACAAGCACAGTTCACACACTTATTCCTTGTGATCCATAAAAAGGAGGCAACTCTAAAGATTAAAAAAGCTAAATCAATTTCTACTTATTTAATTTAAGCAAAGTCCTGTCCACTGAAGCTGTTTGAAGACCAAGGTCAGTCTGGTTAGTCCAACTGAACAAATGCTGGTTATGATTAAGTGTTTGGACAGTGAGCAATTCCAGTGAGTTAACAAGATTCTATAGGCTTAAACAATGCAATATTCAGACCTCTAGCAGCATACTGATTGCTTGGTTTACTCCTATTTCATTTTATTTTGACATGGAATGTCAATTTAACTCCCTGAATTTGTTTAATAGCAAATTCTTTACAATCCACACCCCTCCAATGTTTACATCCAATGCACATTTGTTTGTATTGAATATCATTTGTCATAAATCAGCCTAGAAGCAATTCCTGTCTAGTTTTCTTGTCAGATCTTAGTTGGTTGATTTTGGAGTCCTCTTTAGCATGATATTATCTGAGAGTTTAACTGTAGACATATCTGCACACATAACATTCACTTAAACAAGTAATATAAATGTCAAATGGTTCACAAATATTAATCAAAGATATAAAGGTTCATGAGACCGGTGTCATTAATACCTTAACCTCAGGGCCAGTGTACTTAGGACCTGAATGGACTGGGGCTTCTGGTTGAAGCATGTCTGAGAGTGCATCAAGAGCTCCCATATCTCCTGTTTTACCCTATCAAACAAAAGGACAGTTTTAATATTCACACAATCTCTGGATGAATTGTATCCAAAAGCAAAGTCAAATTAACTTGCAAACTACATTAGAAAAGGAAGGAGGCATGTGGCAGGAAAGTCCCTGAGGTATCTCATTTAATACCTCACACATTGTGTTCTTATCTATCCATATCCACGTCTTACCATAAATAGCCAATGTTTTATTTGGGGTGGGGGGGGTGGGTGGGGGTCCGTCATTCCAATCTACCTGAAGTCAATCCAATGCTCAGCCTTGTCCCTGCATATCATCGATCATCAGTTTTGATTGCAAACAGATATTCTCAAACACAACTAACATGAAAATAATCCTTAGATTTGGTATAGCACCTTTCACATTGGGAGAATGTCTCAAGAGTGCTTGACAGGATTTACTGTGAAGTGTAGCGACTGTTTGCTTGGTGAGCAAACAATACCAGAGATGGAAAGCTCTACTTATTAGGGGAGATTCGATAAACTGGGGCTATTTTCACTAGGAGAGAAGGTTGAGAAGATACTTAATAGAGATGTTAAAAATTATGAGAGATTTTGCTAAGGTGAATAGGGAGAAGTTATTTCCACCTTTTGGTGAGTCAGTTACTGGAGGGCTTCATTTTAAGATGCTTACTTAAGAAACAAAAGGAAAGATTTTGAGATGTTTTTAAACTTAAGAGGGTTACTACAAAAACATCTGGCATTATTAGGACACAGAATTCTACCCAAATGATAGTAGAGCAGAAGTCATAATAGCTTTTAAAAGGGAAAAGACAAATATCAAAGAAAAACGATAAATGGTTATGGGGTAAAGGCAAGTGGGACTAAACACATGGCTCTTACAGACTGCCAGCACGGGCATCATGGGTCAAATTGTCCTTCTTCTGTGCTGAAAAATACAGTCATTCCACTTTACAGCATATCCTGTGAAGCACTTTGAGATAGCTCGACAACATGATAAGATGCTTTATTAAAGATGCAAGGATTATTATGATTATGTTTCTATTTCAGGCTTCTCTTGTCACCTACCTTGGCATCATGTTTACTTGCAGAAACTGAACAAGCTGCTGACATTCTCACAGGTTCGATTTGATCCTTTATAGAAAACAATGAAGATTAATTACTTCAATTTTCATTTCTTCCAAAGATGGCTGAACTGTTTTTCATGGTGCATTAAATTTACAGCACTGCTCCCGATAGCTGCCCTGAATGTTGCCAGCAACCCTCCTAAAGAGTCAGGTTGCTTGGACATCTGCATAGCCTTGGTGACAACAAAAAATGGCATGACGTTGGTGGCACAGAATCCATGTTAGTTTTTTTTAAATCAGGGTGAGATGATCACTTAGCTGCAATGACAAGCAATGTGGCCTACATGTTTGATCCTAGGCATTGGGGGAAGGCATGGGAGGTAAGAAGTAAAGGGGTATAATTTGTGATATATTTGCTAATTAATGCATCATTTTAGTGATCTTATGCTGCTTAACACATTGACTGGGTACATTAGTGCGTAAAGTTGCAATCAATGTATTTTGATAAGGGATGCTGCTGCAGTCGCAAATGATAAAGAATCATATCTTGCTGCAAAGTATTGAATAAACATACTTAGCACAGAACAGTACACAAAAAAAATTGGTCACTTCAATCCACGACTGTTTGTGGGACACTGCTGCGCACAATTGGCTGCCGAGTTTCACCCACAAAAATATACAGTCAATTCGCTTTACAGTACATTCTGTGAATCGCTTTGAGACGTCTTGAAAATGTGATAAGGCGCTATATCAAATGCAACAATTATTATTATTAGAAGCAAACCCCTCTGATACACTTCTCAATGGCCAATCTGGGGAAGTTGCAATGTACTTCAGTGCACCTTAACGTACTTGTGTGATAGCATTCTTCATCTACTCTCAACAGCTGCTTACTCAAGACACTGCTTACTCTATAAGCCTGCTCTGCACTATTTTAGGAGAGAATCATCAATATTATTCATTCAGTGAGTTTATGTAATGTTCTGAATTAAGACTGAATTTAAGAATTTTCCACAATTCTGCGCAATCTTAAATTTGATTGTTCAAATCATGGTATAAGATGAGATGAGGTGGTAATCCAGGCTTGAAGATTTGTCTGGAAATGAAAAAGAATCACATTTCTAAAAATAAATTGCTAGATTTCTAAACCGAGCGGGGATTTTCCTTGCTTTCCAAGTCATTGACTAAGTCATTCAGCACCACGCAGTGAATTAGTCGCAAGCAGGATGAGAGAATCACCTGCTCATACAGGTAAGCAATGTGATTGTTCACTGGCCTGGCTGCTCCTGCCCCAGCCACTGGATAAAGTAGGACGGTAAAAAATAAAGTTGCAAACCACAACTTAAAACTGCAAATTTGTAGTTGTTTTTCTGTAGTGTCCGCTCCTCTCAAGGACCAATTCTGCAAAATATATATGTATATGTTTCAATATCACAAAACTGTTGCTCAGAGACTCTGAGTCAGCAGGTTGATCTTGATTCTAAAACTTAACTGCTCAAAACCTTTCTGCCATGTTGCTTTTTATATTAATGTATTAATGGCCACACTGGCACTTGAGCATCACTCTTGCTGTAGTTAAAAGATTTCACATTTAGTGATCTCGGGGTTTCCAGTTTTTACTTTCACACCTTATACGTAATATGCCCTTTAAATGGGACTGAAAGGATTGCTCTTAAAAGAGCCAGCACAGACATGATGAGCCAAATAGCCTTCTTCTTACTGTAAGCTTCTATGGTTCCATGGTTCTAGTATGTTAATATATAAGTGGTTTGATAGTGCCATACATGTGCGCAAGATGATTGGAACATTTTTCCCCTTCTACTCCCCGTCCCCCATCAGCCACAATACAACTAACTGCAGCACAGGATTAGAAGGTGTGCCTGAGAAACAAACCTCCCGACTTGGAACTCTGTCATTTTTGTAGTTGGAACCATTAGCAAATCATTAACCTGATTTGTTAATGGTTCCATTAACGCTATCTAGGGGAGATGAAGGTGGGAAAAAGTCTCATAAATTCTGTGCAATGTAATGTGTGTTGTGGTTAAGTTTGTCCGTTTCCATTTAAAGATGGAAAAAAACCAATATTCATCAGGATTTTCTCCAAATCTAAGAGGACAGATTCTCATTGTTAAACATCATTTAAAAAAATATATATTTTTTCTTACCTGAACTATAAAAGTTGCTGACTACTTGTGGTGCGTGACCAGGACATCTCTTTCTGTGTGCTTCACTTGCACACAGTATGCTTACAGCACCTCTAACATCACTTCCTGCACATCTACCTTACAATCTGGATCTCTGCCATTTTTGTAATGGGGGTGGGGAGGGGAAATAAATTGCTAAAAATCTAAAAGCATCTGAAAAAAACAGTAATCCGTTTTCAAGTTATTTTTAATTGAAACTGGCTACCTTATATATCAGGGATAAGTTTGGGCAAGTGTGGATTGAAAAAATAGAAATTCCACCACCACGATTCAGGCCTGAGTCAGAAGATAAACCCAGCTATGGAAAGGATCCAGCCACAGCCAATGCAAGTCACAAGCTTCTCTATTACAGTCTGCCCACAACAGCAGTAGTGTCATTGCCAGAAATCCCACAAGGTGTCAGCATGGTTCAATTGGAAGAACTCTCACCTCTGATTCAAAAGGTTATGGGTTCAAGCTCTACATTAAGAGTTTGAACTCAGTCCAGGCTGACATTCCAGTGAGGTGTTGGGGGAGAGCTAGATGTGCTATAGGTGCCATCCTTTAGATGAGATGGTAAACTGGGGCCCAATTTGCCTATTCAGGTGGATGTAACGATCCCATAGCACTATTTGGGAGAGAAGGGAGTTTTATTGGTGTCCTGGCCAGCAATCCCCAGCTCTGTAGTGAAGTGTCAGCCTAGACTATCATCTTAAAGTCCAGATGTGGGGTATAGACCCACAACTTTCTGAATTAGGTGAGAGTGTTGGAACTGAGTAAATTGAACTGAGAATTTTATTGCACAGGACCAGATGGCAAAAAAGATTAAATAATCTCAGGCCTTCTTGGATTTAAGTAGCTACAATTAACAACTGGTTATGGCAAAGCAAATGTTAAGAATTTAGACATCCTAGTGCAGCCTTGCCTGGAATTAATCACGGAATAAATCAGGTCTGTGACATGCTGGAAACATTTTGTGCAAATATATAACTCACAAATTTCAATGGTTAAATTGGATTCTAAACATAGATGGGAAAGATTTTCAAGTTATAAACTGATTAAAAGTTGACAGAAGAGTCGTACCTGTTTCTGCATAGGAGGTGCAGCATGTGAAGATGCCACTGCAGACTTTGTAATGACAGCTGGAGAGCTCTGTGCGAAGTCTAACGCCATAGCGTCCACAAGATCAATCTTGGTCAGAAGCTGTCAGCACAACAAACAGTAGTAAGGAACATATTTTACCAATGCAGATCTGAAATAAGCTGACTAAAGTAATAATACTAATAATCCTTACATTTGATATGGTGCTTTTCACCTCAGGAGGATGTCTCAAAGGGGAAATACATTTTGTTCACCTCCAAATATTAAAGGCCTTGATGAAAACACTGGGAACCTGAACCCTCTGGTTTCGATACCAATATTAGTATCATAGGAGGTATTCAAGGCAGGAGTAGATCATTGGTCTATCTAGCCTATGTGCTCAACCCAGTTACCTCTGATATTGCTTTATATGCAAGAAAGACAGCAAATGTTACATCCTCCTTATATAGAAAAGTAGCAATCATTCAGGTAACTGCAGTTCTAAGAATGTTAAACTGAGTTTAAAATCATTAAAAGAAAATTATTATAATCCATCAATAAAGACAGATGAGTAACAAGTTGGATAAGGGATAATCATTACTTTTGTAAAGGATAAGTTAAATCAATTCAATAGAATTCTTAGACAGAATTATTGAGATGATAGGTAGAGCTTCCACTACACCTGAATGGCTTTTCCAATCCTGAATTCAGGTGTATTGAACAGAAGTTAAATGTTTCCAAGAAAATCATCATCTTAATGTCTGTAATGAACCCCAATTCTCAGAAACGCATTACCTCTGGTTTCTTTCCTGAATCAGTGGGAGCAACAACAGCTGGGCCCTTTTTGTCTGCACCCTGTGGAACCATGCAAACTGCTATGAAGTCATTCAACAATGCAGATAAATCATTTAGAAATAAGCAAATGGTAAAATAGCAACAGTAGTGTCATAGAATCACTAAAAGCACATCATATTTCTATTTACAATTGGACCCAAAGGGTATTGCAGCATCAGACCAACAACTGTGCACTTCAGAACCATGTCATTGGGCAATAAACTAACTTGTTGGGAAATTATATATCACAACTTGCAAACATGATAAACTCAAAGATAAGATTAACACATGTTCCTTTTTGATAGAAAGGTCCTGAATGAAGCTAAGTGCATACAGCAATGAGCTGAAGTGTTCTGTGTTGGGCCTCAGGGTTCAGAGATCACAAGTCAACTGTGAGGGCCAATTCACATGTCAATCGGCTGGAGTCCGATGCTCACTCCAGCGGCTCCAAGTACAGCAGCAAATTGTCATCCCAGAATTCGGGAAATAAATTGTTGAATTTGGGATTTTTCTGAGAAAAGGTTCTTTACAAATGAATTTTCACCCAAATATCTTTGTGTTTATGGTGAAAATTAGTAAATCTGAGTTGAACATTTCCTTCTTATATTTTGGGACAGAGTTTTAGAGAGTGGGGGCTTAGTGGTTGAAGCCTTGGCCACTGATGAACGGAGGGTGCAGGTAGAGGAGTGAAGATCAAATAGGTACGGAGGAGGGAAAAATTGCGAATGGATCTGAAGGTCAGACTGAGGACCTTGAAGGCAATTTGCCAGTGTACCAGAACCCACCGGAGGATGGGGGGAAATTGGTAATCAAAGTGAGAATATCGATTTCAGTCATTCAGTAAAAGATTACATTGTGAACCAGACAATCCAACAATTTCCATCCAAATATTTTCTGACACATGAGCCTATTCTGAGAGGTTAAATGCTTGGTAAAGTTATTTGCAGCACTGACCTCAGAAGAAAATCTGTAATTGGGTGGAATCGAATCCTCCCGCTCGCCCACTTTATCTGCAAGCTTCTCATGAGCTGCTTTTTCCTAAAAACAGAAAATAAAAGTTCAAACTGTATAACAAGTACAATTCAATCACTTATATACTATGCTCCAGATCAAGGAGAGAACTATGAAGTTAGGAAACCTAAACCAACGTGTACATATTCAGCTCAAGTGAAAATTCAGTGCAGCCATGTTACAACACACCTCATCCTTTTGTGGGACATTGCTGTGCGCAATTGGCTGCCGCGTTCGCCCACAAATATACAGTCAATTCACTTTACAGTGTGTTCTGTGAAGCGCTTTGGGACGTCCTCCCGACGTGAAAAGCGCTATATCAAATGCAAGGATTATTATTATTATTATTATTATCCTAGGCAAATTCTGTTATGATGCAGGCACAGTGTAGATCCCATTCACTGTGCTTCAGTACAGCCAGTCTGCTCGTATCCCACACCACCGTCCCCCTATACATACTCATACATACAAATTAAAATCCAAGATAATAAGATTCATGAGGCCAGCATCTTTGATACCTTAACTTCAGGCCCAGTGTATCTAGGACCCGAATGGACTGGGGCTTCTGGTTGAAGCATGTCTGAGAGTGCATCAAGAGCTCCCATATCTCCTGTTTTACCCTACAAAACAAAAGGACAAATTCTAGCTGAACTATATCTGAAAGCAAAGTCAACGGACCATAGAAAAACAGGAACAGGACCTTACACCATATATTTTGCTTGCTAGATACAATACAGAAATAGAGAGTTTGAGAGTTTAGAGAACAAGAGTATATCTCCAATAGATTCTTGAGGCACTCAAAACTTCTTTATAAAGAAATATTTTCCCTGGATTTCCCTGGACAGCATTGTGGTTAGAGAGGTTCTATCCTCCTTTTTCTTACTGATTTGCTGATCAATGGAAATAGTCTAAAGAACATTTTCTCTTTTATGCTGGCCTTTATATTTAAGGCCCGGATTAATTTCTTATCCTAATTCCCAATGGCGTTGATTTGTAAAACAGTCTCCCATATGATACCTTAACAAGGCTTTTAGGAAGTCTAAAATTAATGATTTTTCATTAGATCTTTATAATTCATTATTAATACAATTAACACAATTATTACAATAATTAATAAAATGATGATTATGTTTTGCAGTTAGATCTTAACCCTGTTCCTGTAAATCAGGTTAAATACCAACAGTCAGTTTCCATTATAAACATCATGAAAGATATCATATTTCCTTGTCACTCACCTTAGGAGCTGGTTGACTTGCAGAAACTGAAAAAGCTGCTGAAGCTTTCACAGGTTCAATTTGATCCTTTGTGAAAAAGAATGAAGATGAATTACTTCAGGTTTCATTTCTCCCAATGATCATTTCAGGCTTCCTGCATTTCTAGTTCTGCATTTAAATTTACAGCATTGCTCACAACAGTGAAATGGAACAGTGCAAAGTAATCCAGGCTGTAGCTGTTTGCAGGGTCCCACACAGACCATCTTTAAGAGTTGGGCAAGACCCACAGTTATAAAGGTAGAAACTTGCTGATAGTATAAGGGTTTCTGTTGGAGGCATGGAATCTACATTTTCTAGCTGCCACCAGGGTGAAAGAATCGTTGAGCAGTAAGGGCAAGCAATACATATTCCCACTGTCCCATATTGTCCAATATTAATGTTTGTGGACGAGGGCCAACTTTCTTCAACTCAACGTCGGCAAGACCGAGGCCCTCCTGATTGGCTCGCGCCAGCGCCTCTGCACTTCAGGTGCTGGTAGCATCAGCCTCCACGGCTGCACACTCAACCTCACTAAGCCAGTCAGGAACCTGGGTGTCTTGTTTGACCCTGAACTGTCCTTTCTCCCCCACATCTGTGCCATAACCGGTACTGCCTACCACCACCTCCGCAACATTGTCAGACTCCGCCACTGCCTCACCCTCACCCACGCATTCGTCACCTCAAGACTTAATTACGGGAACTCCCTCCTCATCGGTCTTCTCAACTCTTCCCTTCACAAGCTGCAGATCATCCAAAACTCTGCAGCTCGTGTACTTTCACGCACCAGACTCCGCGACCCCATCACTCCCAACCTCGCCGACTCCACTGGCTTCCCTTCCTCCAGAGGATCAAGTTCAAGATCCTTGTCCTCACCTTTAAAGCCATCCATGGCCTTACCCGCTCCTAACTCTCTGACCTGCTGACTCCCTACGAGCCTACCCGCTCCCTCCGTTCAGTGGGCCCTGGCCTACTCCACGTTTCCCGCCCGACCTACCATCGGTGGCCGGGCTTTCAGCCTCTCTGCCCCCATACTCTAGAACTCCATCCCACAGTCCCTTCACTCGCTTCCTCCCTTGCCTCCTTCAAGGCCGGTCTCAAGACCCTTCCCTTCGACCGTGCCTTTGGTCTCCCTCTTATCTCTCTGCCTTCCGTCACTCCTACACCACCCCTCCCCCATGCTCAGACCCCGACACCTGATTGTTCAGTGCCTTGGGACGTCCTCCCGACGTGAAAGGCGCTCTATAAATGTAATTTTGTTGTTGTTATTGTGGGTCCCAGACAGATCCTCCTGAAGAGTTGTGTTACATGGACAACTACAGAATAGTGTTGGTGGCACAGAGCATTTTCTCTTTATCACTGGGATGAGAGGGTCATCACCATTTCTAGATTATACAGATCACAAGAATGTTGCTATAAGACTCAGTTTAACTTAGACCCAAAAGGTTCCACATGAAAGTCAGAGCATAAACACCAGCTGCAAGCAGCATGTGCCATCATTCAGGTTCAGCACTTATAATATATAAACAACAAAATTACATTTGTATAGTGCCTTTCACATTGCGAGGACGTCCCAAGGTGCCAGAGTGACAGAGTTTCAGACCTGAGCTGGGGGTCGGGGAGGGTGGAGGGCAGTGGGGAAAACAGGGAGATCAAAAGCACAGTTGAAGAGGGTCTTGAGATGGGTCTTGAAGGAGGCAAGAGAGTGGGCGAGGCGGAGGACTGTGGGGTGGAGTTCCAGAGGGTGGGGGCAGAGTGGCAGTAGGCCCGCCCACCAATAGTGGGGCGAGCGAGGCTTGAGGGTGTATGGGGATAGGATGGGGCAGTGGGATTGAAGGGACAGTGCAGACTCAATGGGACCAATGGCCTTCTTGGCCTTGTGTGCGGTGAATTGCTGATTCTGTGATTCTATAAACCGGAAGTCTCAATTAGTGCAGTTTGCTATCATCTCATTTTACACCCAGTGGAACTCATGTTAAAATAACCAAATCCCAATATAAATCTGTTTTTGACAAGTGTGGTCCTGGCTCTAGAGTCACATCCTTAAAAAAAATTACCACATCCTGTCCCCTTTTCCTCCGCAAAATTACATTTCCCAATGATATCTCAAGGGTTTCTATATTTGTCCTTGAACAAATGTAATATATGTAATATGTAACAGTGACATTTAGGTTGAGGTTTCAGTAACATATTTCAAATCATAGTCAAACCCTCATTTTAACTTTACCGCTTTAAGTGCATCTTCTAAGCCTTTATTCTTCCACCAAACTTCATCCACAATCTAACAATCCCTCCTAAGATCCATACCTTTTTCTGTAGGGGTGCCGCACAATGTGACGATGGAGCGGGAGACTTTGTAATCAAACCCGGGGAGCTCTGTGCGAAGTCTAATGCCATAACATCCATGATGTCACTTTGTATCTGAGGCTGTCAGAAGAAACAAACAGTCTTGAACATATTTAAAGAAAGAGCTAGTAAGTATATAACGAGCAAAGAACTAGCTCCTTACCATGTTGAAATATCCCCAAAATACTTCAAGTAATTGCTGTCAAAGTGACTGTTTTTTCTAGTTAAATGTGGGACTATTTGTGCCAAGAAGGTCACACAATCAGCCAAGAAAATTATTTCCACTGGTTGGTAAATCAGTAACCAGAGGGCATCAATTTAAGATAGTTAGTAAACAAGCAAATGGGGAGGATAGGGGAAAAAAATCATGCATAGAGTAGTTAGAATATGGAATGCCCTGTCAGGAGCAGTGGTTGAGGCAGAATCCATATTGGTCTTCAAGAAGGAACTAGACAAATACCTTAAAAAGAATCAGCTACATAGGTATGGGAAAAGGGTAGATAAATGGGACTGAAAGGATTGCTCTTGAGGGAGCCGGCACAGACACAATGCTCCTAATGGCCTTCTCTAGAACATAAATTTCTGTGGTTCCAGTCCAGAGGACTCCTGCTGAGGCACCATAAGAAACTCCCTTCTCTTTTTAATACTGTTACTCGATCTTTAAAATTCTCTTGAATAGGAAAAAGAAGCGATGATTTAATATCTCATCAGAGAGTGCATCTAATAATAACATTCCCCAGTAACAATAATATTCCTTGTATTTGACACAGCACCTTATCCCACCATCAAGACATCTTCACAGATGCGCTTCACAGCATATATAGTAAAATGGATTGTCTGCGTACTTTGGGGGTGAAACGCACTTTAGTATTGCACTGAAGACTCAAATCAGATAATTAGCTGAACTCCCGGCATGGGCTCAGACTCACAACTTTGCGACCCAGAGGTACTAACTGAGCTAAGGTTTGCCTTTAAATGAGAATAGTCAAAGCCCTAAAATAGAACCCAAATGAGAGACCTGAGTTCAATTCCAGGCAGGGGGAAACCTTGGGCAAGTTTCCTTACTCCACACGCCTAATAATAATCCCTCCAAAACCCAAAACAATAATAAATTGGTCATTTTCAATCTACGACTGTTTGTGGGACATTGCTGTGCGCAATTGGCTGCCGCATTCGCCCACAAATATACAGTCAATTCACTTTACAGTGTGTTCTGTGAAGCGCTTTGGGACGTCCTCCTGACGTGAAAAGAGCTATATCAATATGCAAGGATTATTATTATAAAGCATCTTTCCTTGTACCCTTGTAGCCACTTAAAGAAAAGCAATAACTGAAAGCAGTCAAATACTAAGAAGGAATGTATGAATTGTGTGCCGGTAAATTTAACCTTGTGTCTCAGTGAGCTTTTACCTTTGGTTTCTCTGCCGGATGAACGTGAGTGCCAACACTTGTGTCCTTTTTACTGGTAGCCTGGGAATCAAACAAACTACCATGAAATCCTTCCATAATGGAGTGTTACAATGTTGAATTAAAACAGTGATAGAATCATTAAAAGTACATCTTATTTCTATTTACAATTGATCTCACAAATGGAAAGCTGCTTTGGTGTTCAGAGTTCTTTTGAATCATGCAAACACAACAACAACACAATTATATTTGTATAGCGCCTTTCACATCAGGAGGACGTCCCAATATAATTCAAACAGCGATATTATTCACAGCACTGACCTCAGGGAGAAGTCTGTATTCAGGTGGTAGAGAATCTTCCCGCTCTCCCACTTTGTCGGCAATCTTCTCGCAAGCTGTTTTCTCCTAAAAAGAAATGTTTTAAAAGAAGTGAACATCACATTTCATATATTTATTTACTGTGTTCCATACAAAAAGAACACCAAAGTTAGGAAAGCTAAATACATGTGTATGTTATTCAGCTGAAATGAGAACATGTATTCCAAGGTTCAAGTGAAACTCTTCAGTCTTTCTTTTTTGTTGTCCAGCCGGTGTCTGACACATATGAAAATCCATCGCAATGCTGAAGAGTATTTACACCAAACTGATTGTTCCATACATCCCACCTACACATGGAAATCCCTATGTATTGGAATGTGCACTCTCTCCTAGGAGGGAAGCATTCCGCTTACCTAATTCCACAAAGTATTAGTTTGAGGCTGGCAGGAACCAAGGCTAAGGGACCTAATACAATACGTTAGAGTACTGTTGGGAGTTTAACCAGCTAAAACTTCAATGTGCAAAGCAATCTCTAACAAGCTTCCCATTGCTTGTCCAGCTAGGACTGCCTTACCTGCTAAGGCTTTGGCTTGCAGGGTTAACAGGAGCTGAATGGGAAGAATTCCCCGCCCCAGTCTGCCACTCCACGTCGTACTGAATGAGCCAGGCTGCCTGGTCTGTCATCAGAAGGGCCTGGAATACTGTGGACACACCTGGCTCATTACTGAGAGTGCTACAGAGGTTTGACTCGATTCCAACAACCCATCTGGTTAGTTCACTTAAGACTACTTGTTTCAAACTATTGATTTCAGTTGCAAAAATAGGATGGGTTGCATAATCTAAATGGTAAAATAATAAAAGGTGAATTATCAAGATGGAATAGGTGGATAATTAAAAAAGGCAAAGTAAATAGAGGTAAATTATAGTTACAATTTTACATCTATAAAGCACCTTTCACGTCAAGAGGATATCTTAAAGTGCTTCACAGAGCCAAATGGGAGCCTGAGCTTGGAATGGGGGGAGTCGAGGAAGAGAGGTGGGGAGGTGACCAAAAGCACGGTCGAAAAGGAAGGTCTGAAATAGTAAGTCACTGTAAGGAAAATGTGAACTTGTAATTATGTTTAAACACAATGTACAGTAATATGAGTGATAAGCAGACATAAAGATTCATATAACTGTGTCTTTTAATACCTTAATTTGAGGGCCAGTATACTTAGGACCTGAATGGACTGGGCCTTCTGGCAGAAGCATGTCCGAGAGCTCATCAAAAGCTCCGTGAGCATCAGTTTTACCCTATAAATAAAGGACATCTTTCAATATTCACATAATCTCTAGCTGTACCGTATCCAAAAGCAATGCCGAATATATTATAAGTTGAAAAATGGGAAATAAAAGTTACTGCTGCACCCACATGCACACCAAAGTCTCTCCAGTGTAGTAAAATAAAGTGCCCTGGAAGTCTTTAGGAAATCCCTTGCTTTCATCTATTAAACAACAATTTCTTGTCCACCACCTTCCAGATAAATGCACTTGATGAAATGAACCAAAACAGATCAATTCTAGACATTTTAAAATGCAGGCAGTGCAATTTAGGTTGTGACTCAGAAAAACACAATCTTGACCTAGGCACAACATTTCTTTGCAAAGAATTTATTACTGATCCAGGATTCAACATTTTTAAAAATTTATTTTTTTCAGCTTGGTATCTGACACACCAGGCTTAAGAATATCCAAAACAGACTGAGTTCCATAAAAGGCAAAATACTGCAGATGCTGGATATCTGATATAAAAACAGAAGTCGCTGGTACACTCGGGGTGTCAGGCAGCATCTATAGAGAGAGAAAAGTGAGTTAACGTTTCAGGTCGATGAACTTTCGTCAGAACTCAGTTCCACATATGTATGGAAATGGAATGCAACTCTCTTGCTGGATGTATGCACTCCGCCTACCTAATTCCAGAGAGTATTAGTGTGGGATGGCAAGAAGTGAGTTTGGAAGACCTCTGAGCTCCGTGATAAGACTGGGAACCATTTTAATCCGCGTGCTGTTTAGTGGATTGAAAACCAATACACCCACATTACTGAGGGACATGATTCTCCAGTTAAAAGCATAGATTTTGACAAGAGATGGAAGCAGCAAGCTTACCTCTTTCTGCTTCGATGCGGCTGCTTGAGAGTAGGACGGTGGTGGTGCTGCAGACTTTGAAATTGAAGCATCAGACTTGATGTCAAAGGTCAGAGGATCTATAAGAGCTTTGTCTGTCAGAACCTGGCAGTAAAGCACACAAAGAGAATTCAGGTATATAGACTTAAAATACACGGAGTAAAATTACACCAATACAAACAGAAAACTGCTACAACCTCACCCACAGTCCTAAAGCACATATTAAACAAGTTAAAAGAAAAACAAAAAGGCCCGGGTAATAATTTGTTTCTAAAAGTTCAAGAAAAATGCAAAGTAGGATTTACCTCCCCAGGGATTGACCTTAGTTTTGTCTCTGGATAAGCACTCGTTTTAATCTGTGGAAACAGCATTGTGTAAAAATAAAAACAAATAGTTAAATAAAAACAACAAACAAACAAACAAAAGAACTACAGTTATGATCAATGGAACCCTTGCTTTGCTGGGGGGACATTTGCAACTCTTGGAAGACTTGCTATTTTGTGCACCTCTGAGCCACCACTTAGCCTATCTGGTAATGAAGTGCTGCCTGAATTGGGATTCCGTATTTATTTCCTCTTCTCTTCCTGATGTTCAGCAAAATAACATAAGTTAACCAATTCAGAGCTAGTCCAGTGACCTCTATATAGCAAGTAGAATACTCTATCAAATAACACTATTGGTGCTAAAGTTTTCCTTTTGCTGTGAGTAGGCGCCTGGCCTTTACGTAGCAACTTCCCACCATGGGATGATTGAAATCAATAGTGGAAAATCACAAATGCAGGAATGGTAGGCACAGACCTGAGTGTCATCACACTGTGATTTCCCAGAGGGAATATATACCAATTTATATCATTTGAATCGTAGTTTGAACAGAATGTTGATAAATAACTGCTGCAGTGCTGCATTGTAGACATTGATGTGGACAAATTGTTTGTCTCAATCCTTACAAACACAATCGCTACATTTAAAGGTAATTGTTGTACAGCGTTTTGAGTCGCTGCCTCCGAAGGAAGGCACCTATGGCAACTTTGCACTTTCTCAGCACTGTACTGGAGTTTCAGCCAAGATCTTGCTTGAATCCACAACCTTCTGATCCAGAGGAGAGAGCGTACTAACTGAGCCAAGCTATTGGATATCATTTGAACTAAGAATAATTATACAACTGAACCTTAGTATTTGGATCCTCTTCAAATCTGTAGTCTGGTGGTATGGTTCTCTCATCTTCCCCTAACTTCTTAATCTTCTTCTCAGATCGTGGATCTTCCTAAAAATTAGAGATAAAATGTTATTTTAAAAAGGCAAAATTTAATCGAGATTAAGGTTTCGGTGTTTCATGAGTTCCAGAAAAAGAAACTACTTGTTAGACACTAAACCTTTGATATTGCAACTTTTACATCAAGAGAAAATCTCAGTGTTTTGCAAGCATTGCATTGTTGGAGTTGCTGTCCCACAAACACCCATGAAGCAAATAGCCATTTTATCTTGAGGACCATGAGTTACTTTCTTTCTTTCTGAACAGTGCCATGGGATCTTTAAACATAGTTTGGCCTGTACATGGGAACTGTATTTCATCATTACATCTGCAACAAAATGTCACGCATACCTGAACATTGGGGCCAGTGTATTTAGGAGCTGTAGGACCAGTGTCTTCAGGCAGAAGTGTGTCTGCCAACAAACTGACAGCACTTGGATCTGATTTACCCTTTATAGACAAAAGAGCATGTTTCAATATTTTAAACAGGAATCAACTGAAATGTACTCCCAGAGCACTGTTATACATATTATACTTAAGCAAAAGGTTATTCCAACTGCAGTAAATTTTGATAATTGAATACTCAATTTGACAGTGAAAATTATTCAATAAACCAAACTAAACATTGTTCAGGAGATGAGGAGAATACATTCACGCTGCATGATGATATTCACGCTGAATGTAGTGATTTGGGACTTGGTGTTTTTCCAGACTCAGATTAATTGTTTTATGTATGAGTGGACATGGGGAAAATTATTCAAAAAAATGAATTATTTGTATATCCAGCATTGAATTAACAAATCTATATTCTTTGATTAGGTGTGCAAATGGTTTGATATTTCTAAATTCTATTCAATAAACCAAATTATTCAATTATCTAATTTCATGTAATAGAATTTCACTATAAAACACAGTTGGCAAGATCAATGACTATAATAATATTCTGGCTCCAAAGAGCAAAATGCGGCCAAAGGCACATTTAATCAGCTGCTTCTCTACTAATGGGTGTAAAATCCACTCGGCAGTTTTCATTGAAAACAAATCTCTCTACGGTTTCATTACAAGTCTTGTATCTGCATCACTGTGATATGAGAGCTGTAATACAACCCAAGCGAGCTGGCAATCACTGCAGGAGGTTACACACCACTTGAGAAAGCAGCTGCTGACACCGTACATTTAAAGTCACAAATACAAAAACCCTCAGATGTCTCAATTAGCCATCTTTTCATTTCAAAATTCCAAGTCCCTCTAAGATATGAATGTTGCTCCTTCATCTGGGGAGATTCTTCCACTTCAATCGATCTCCAGAACAAAAGACTTGCCATTGTACAAGTGAGGTCTTTCTCACTTCGAACTTTCTTTTGTCACAACCCATCGATCTCTATTTTATCATTCTACAATGATGTTTGCTCCTCTAAACATTCATTCACTCTTGTTCTTCACCAATTTAAATCTGCAATAATCTACACACTTCCTTCTTGCTGACTTTCACTGTTGTAAAATGAAAACTCATTGTACCATCTCCTAATTATAATACATTGTTTTCCTCCCTTCAGTTTTTCCTATGACATCCAGGCTTTCCAAGCCGGTGGTGGGCATGTTCCTAACTACTTTTTTTTAATGTATCTTGTCCTTCCTCTTATTTTTTTCAATCCTGTCCTATGTGCCTGGCCTTTGATTAAGGGAAAATGACCAAGAAGAGCTGACTATTCTGTAAACCCATCCATTATTAGAAAAGTAACTGGTTTACTGAGACCATTGGCAGCATGCCTTTTGCATGTTTCAGTGTCGATACCTTTCTTCCAGTGATGTCAATGGGTGTAAATGTTTAGGCTGTCATGTTCATAGTCTGTTTGACATCCATTGGATTCTGAACCAATGGTGAAATGTAACTGGAGCATTAGTAGTGAACTCTTCCTTTGCTACCTACCTGAGCAGCACTTTTATTTGCAGAACCTGAAGCAGTGGATGAAACACTTGCAGATTCCTTTGGATTCTTGGGCTGCAACAGAATAAAATTAAGTTGAAATATCCCTGCAAGTCTCAACCCCTTGCTCTCAACACTCAAAGCCATTTCTATGACTTCTGATGTAGCAAAATAGAATTATATGCAGAACAAAAGGGTCACTGATCAAACAACCTCAGGCATATTGTTAATACGTCATCACTTGCCTCACCTCCAAACTCCAAACAGCACCACTGTGGTGTTTACATTTCACACATCAAACCAAACCATGCTTTTTGCCTGAGACTACCAGTGTAGTACCAAATCTGAGAGCAGTTTAATGTTGTGACCTTGTGCCCACTGGATTGAGATTGCCCAAACTGGCATGGAACCCTTAACACCATTAAACTGATTGGTAACTGCTTCCATCAGTTTGGAACAGAATCCAAGCCAGTTCCCAGAGTTACAAAATATGTATGGAAATCTCATCTTGGTTTGAATACTCTTAACCATGGTGCTGGGTTTCCACATGGGTCAGACACCCAACTGACCAAAAAATATATTAGAACTACTGTGTCAACCAGGTCACAACCTGGAAAAGCATAAACCTCTAGCCCAAATAGCCATCATAAAAGCATCTTTGATATATATGTGACATGGTAAGAAGCTATTTAGTTTGAGAAAACACTCGTTTACAGAAGCACAATTTCAGACATGTTAACTTGCCATATAAAAACTCAGTATTTTGTTTTTGTAAAATCAGGCGGTCTGTGGATTTTCTCTGTCGTTTGTATTGAAATCTCCTCGAAATCACACAGGGAAAAGGCAGTAGAATGGGACTAAACAGAGAGCTCTTTCAGAAAGCAATGCAGGTGCGATGGGCTGAATGCCCTCCTTCTGTGCTGTAAATTTTTAATAGGACAAATGGTGTCAGCCTGGCTTGATGGGTAGTACTCTCATCTCCGCGTCAGAAAGTTGTGGGTTTAAGCCCCACATTGAGACTTTGAACTCAAGTCTTGGCATACTCCCGTGCAGTGCTGGGGGGTGGGATGGGCTCTCCTGATTGGCTCCCATCAGCGCCTCCACACCTCAGATGCTGACAGCATCACCATCCATGTTTGCACACTCCACTTTACTAAGCCAGTCCGGAACTTGGAGTCTTGTTTGACCCTAAATTATCCTTTCTACCCCACATCCATGCCATGACCTGCACTGCCTTCCCCCACCTCTGCAACATCGCCCGGCTCCGCCACTGTCTCACACCGCAGGCAGCCGAAACCCTCACACAACCATTCATATCATGCAGGCTTGACTATGCAAACTCCTTGCTTGTCGGCCTCCCCAACTTCTCCCTCCGTAGGCTGCAGATCATCCAGGATTCTGCAGCCCGTGTTCTCTCCCCCATCAGGATCCGTGACCCTAGCAACCCCATCCTCCCATGACTCCACTGGCTTCCCATCACACAGAGGATACAATTCAAGATCCTTGTCCACACCTTGTTCTCCACTATCTCTGTGACCTCCTAACCCCCTACCATCCTGCCCGCTCCCTCCGTTCAGCAGGCTCCGGCATGCTTCACGTCCCCTGCCTCACCCTCCCCACCATTGGCGGGGCGTGCCTTCTGCCGCTCTTCCCCCACTCTCTGGAATTCCATCCCGCAGTCGGTCTGCCTCGCCCTCTCCCTTGCCTCCTTCAAGACCCACCTCAAGACCCTCCTCTTTGACCGTGCTTTCGATTACCCTGCTTCACCCCTACCTCCGCTCTCCCCAATCCCGATCCCCAGCTCAGGTCTGGTGAAACACTGTGCAGCGCCTTGGGATGTCCTCCCGACATGGAAGGCGCTTTACAAATGTAATTTTGTTGTTGTTGCTGTTGTTGTAAGGGGGTGGGGGGGTGGTGGGTGGTGGTGAGAAGAGAAGAGCAATAAACAAGAACAGAGCTGTTTCCTGGCTTGTTATCCCCACCACAGTAGTTCTGTACTGGTTTGAGGAAACAGTTACACTCATGTTTATACCTACAGAAGACCATGTAGTAGAACAGTTTATGGAGAACACGATTTTCTCATTGCCAACATCATTTTCCCCTTTATACCTACTGCTGAACTGATCACTCCAGAAATTGAACACTACACATCTTCGGATAGTGTTCACTTGTTCAGGATTCAGTCAATATTTTAAGAGAACTCTTTAAATTTGAATTCAAGATCCTCATCCTCACCTACAAGGCCATTCACGGCTTTGCTCCCTCCTACCTCTCCGAACTACTATCCCCCTACTTACCTGCCCGTACCCTCCATTCCTCTGGCTCCGGTCTGCTCAACATCCCCCGCCCCAACCACCCTAACATCGGTGGCTGGGCCTTCAGCCTCTCAGCCCCGAGCCTCTGGAACTCTATCCCCAGTGCCTTCGCCGCCGCCTCCCTTTCCTCCTTCAAGGCCGGTCTCAAGACCTTTCTCTTTGACCGTACTTTCAGCTCCCCTCTCGACTCTCTACCCCCTCCTCGCTCCCTCCCCTCACCCTGACCATTTCCCCCCTGCTCGGTTCCTAACCCAACAGTCCAGGGCCTTGGAACGTCCTCCCGACGTGAAAGGCGCTCTATAAATGGAATCTTGTTGTTGTTATAACAGTGCCTTAAATCATATCTATCCACATCATAGTACAATTATGCTATTCCATATAACACAGCTAGAAATACCAAACTAACACATATTATTGTTCTTAAGATTAGAGATTCGTAGAAAATCACTATTGTAGTTTAGCATTTTTTCCAACCTCCAAAATGCCCAGAACACATTAACAACTTCCCTTGAAATGGAGAGAAAGTTAGACATGAAAGCCTGAATTTGTCAAGACCATCCTGAATGTTCCTATACCGAGTTATGACACAACTATTAGATAAAGAGAGTGGAAAACCTATGTGAGAGTGACCAAAACACATCAAAATAACATTCAATTCTGCCTCAAAAGCAACCCTGCTGCTGATTATCTGAATGTGAAAGTGGCCATATGATTAAATGAACAGCTGAATTGCAGGAGTTGGTGATTAACTCAAGAGAAGTTTTTCTCCTTTCATGTAAAAGGGATCATTTTATGCTGAGAACTACAAATGGTAAATTTGTCACTGTATCTTTCATGTGAAATTCCATTCCAAAGGTGTATTTTTGTTATTTAAAATATATTCCTCCCCCATTCCCACGAGTCACAGAACGAGGATCATTGGAACTATTTAAACCAGGTTGATCATTTCAAATAACACTAAATTCACAAAGTAGATGGTCTTACATCTTAGCCCCAATTCTTTGAAGCTATCTCAATTTCTAATAGACCTGTTAACTTCAGCATTTAACAAACAGAACATATTCTGTTCTTCCCAATTTCACAACCTTAGACTGTAAGACCATTTTGTCTTGTAATGTAAGACAGTGAAGAAATGTGCATTTTTTTAAAATTTGGAGGATGGTTTTCCACAGTTATTAAAACAGGACTGGATACCAAATTGAGGCTGAATTTAAGAGTTTTTCACAATTCTTCATTTTCAAAGCAAGACAATCATAAAGGTTAGGACTGGTGAAATTTCAATCTCTGTGTGTTAGTCTTCCTTCTAACCACACATACATATATTAGACAGGAACATTTTTCATAAGCAAAGCATCCATTTGAAACTGGTACAGGTACAGCTCTAACAGGCCATTCTCCTACATGCAATATTAATGGCTCAACTCCAAATACTCATAACTGTCAAATTCTTTATCTGGTTATTCAAGACCCAATAGAAAAGAATTGATGGATTGCTGGTTTCCAGTGTTAATTGATCACATTTTGTTTTGAAAAATTGTGACAATAATTCACAGGAAATAATATTCATATTATTCAGATTAAAAGAAATCCAAGCTTTTTCATATTATTGTATTCGAATTACGAGAGTCACAATTATTTACAGAGTTCATCTCTGTTACAATTTTGTCTCAAAGTGATCTTTAGATGTTGAAGGCTATTGATTGTTCAAGATTTTAAGCTGTATTTGTCCATCAATAATCTTCCTCAGGTGTCAATGTCTTACCTCAATAACTGATGCATTTTTCAGTGTTGTAATTACTGCTCCCTTCTGGTCAATACTGGTACTCTCCAAAGACTTGATAATGGTTCCCTTTAAGCTGTTTATTTCCTCACCAATCATGAGTGATACCTCGCTCATAATTTGACTTTTCATATCAGCTACAATCTTCATTACGTCTTCTAAATGTTTCTGATGTATTTCCTCTTTGAAGCGCACGCTGTTGGCATTTGCTGCATGTATGTTGCGGGATTGCTTAACGTCCTGTTAGAAGTCAGAGCAAGACTGGACAGTGACACATCTGTAACTGTCCCTCTTGGAGGGTCTTTTAATGGAAATTCTAAGGCGGTGCATATTCAGTAGGTAACAGCAAACAACCCACTGGTAACCTGCCCACTTGCATATCTCAACATCTAATAGCAAAACTATAATTCCATTGCTTCCAACCTCTCAATTGTTTGCTGCATTCTTTATATAAGAAGTAACAATCTTTCACTAAGCTTGTTTACTTTGCTTCCAAATCCTCAAACTGTGGTCATATAGTTATCACTTCTTGTTGAATAAACTAGATTCTTCACCTCAAGATCACTAGCAAATGCACTTAACATTACATGCTTTATTAAATCTATTTTCCAATGCTAAATTCAACAAAATAATGGTCCATTCCCCTCATTCTTTGCAAATTATTGAACACTATTTTTAGCCACTCAGCTAAAACTTAAAACTGAATTTCTACACTATTCATAACACAGCAACAAACATATACACATCCAGTACATGAATTAATTTGAATGAATAATTATTCCATCTTTCACAGACATTGCTACTTTAAAGAACAATTAAGATTTTTTAAAAGGACAGAAAGATTAGGATTATCTGACTGAAAATCATTAGTTTATTAAAATTGAATATGCAATTCTAAATTTTTAACTGGTTGATTAATCAGCTCATTAAAAGGATAAGTGCGACAGATCTAGAATCAAGCATGCATTGGTTGGGTAACAAATTGAGCTGTCTAACTCCACCTAGACTTTAAAAAAAACTGCACCTGTTATACAATAAAAGAAATTACAAGATAATTTTACAATAAGACACAGATTACAATACTTTAAATACTAGTAGTAGAATCGAACCAAGATCTTGATCATAACATTTCTACCATTCAGATTCACTCCTTTGCACTTCAAATCTATCTGCACCGTATCACACCCCACACCTTTCCCCCCCGAACAGTACCAAGTGTGACCACCTGAAACTGCACCTAGAGCTATGTTACTGGAAGTAAAACAATAGACTTTTATCCACTAGTTGTGCAGAGTATAAGGAAAATCAATACAACATTCCTTCAAAGCATCTAAACTAGTGTCAGATGTCAGAACTAATGTGCTTGGCTATGGAATATCGGAATCGAGTCATCCACTGCGTCTCAATAGTCCAGTTTTTGATCCAGGCAGGCCCACAGCCTAACTTTTTAACAAGACTTAGAGGAGCAGAACAGTCACTGCAGACTGAGATTTCTCGCACTTAGTACTTGGCAACCCTGCAAGCCAAAGTCCTAATGTGTAGGGTGATCCCGGTAGGCAAGCAGTGTTAAACTTACTAGTGTTCACGTTAGAAAGCTGCATGGTGTTAGTTGTTCAGATACCATCAGTATCCCTAGTGCACACTCTGGTGTCCCCAAACTCTGGCTCTTGCCAATTTGTTGCTAAACTCTCCAGGATTAAGTAAGTAGGGTGAAGTTTTCTGGGAAAGTACACTCCATGCCAAAAATGGAAACTACGGAAATCTCGGTAGTTTAGCTTATGAGACTCTTAATCATGTTGGTGAGTTTCTGTATATATTGGAAACACTGCTGACCAATAACAAAAGCCTCATTTGTACCAACCAAATTGATTTTGCCACCGAACATGCAGAATAAACATAGTACAAGTTTGGAGGGAAAGCTCACCAAACTGGAATGAGAAGAAAATATTGAGATATTACTGACAATATTCTGAAAGGGTACATAATAAATGTTAGAACGTTAATGGATTTAAATTGATGAGGAACAAAGAGGGCATAGTGGAAATTCGACAAGACTTGTGGCATTAGAGATCACAGAGATCAATCACAGAGCAGATTTTTGTAAAGACCGACTCTAAGCAAAGCCAATTAATGCTGTGCCACTTGTTTCCTTTCAAAATGAGTTGGATGAATCTCTGTTTAGAAATGGTACTCAAGGTTAGAATGATAAGCATATACTTAGATGATCAAATTCTCCATGGCACACAATACAACAACAAAATTACAGTTTTACAGTGCCTGTCATGTACGTGAAAACAATAATTCTAGTTATGCTCGCATCACGTTAACGTTGCCTATGGAATGCATCGGGTTAAGGTTTAATCATATATATTGCAGCTCTAGACTAAAATCATGGCACTTCTATACATTTCTTCCAATTAGGCAACTGGAATTTGTTTCATAGTTATCTTCTTTATAGTTTTATTAAACATATAAGATTACAGAATTAATTTCAAGTACAAATCGTGAAGCCATTCAGATATTTTGCTCAGTGATTTGGATAGAATGAACTTTCCCACATGGGGAAACATTATAATCAATCTCAGTCACATTTATTAACACCAAATAATAATTCTTGCATTTGATATAGCATGTTTCACATCGACAGCACTGAATAAGATTTTTATTCTAAAGTTCAGTGACTGTATTTTGTAGGCAAGTTTAGACAAAGAAACTTTAAAGCACGTTTCTCATCCTTTCTTGTTTCAATTTGCTTTGATCCATTCAGAATAACAGTGTCTGATCCATGAAAGTATTAAATCACAAGTACGCCCTTGAACCATCGAAATTCAGATTTTATGATTAATGTATTACAATTTCTGCAAATTTCACTCCAAAATTCTTCAGAGTTAATATAAAAACCATTGCCATAAAATTTAAGATTTGTGCATAATTTTAGAAAATTCTTTAATTCAGCCTTACGTTTCCTGCGTTTTTAAAAAGAATTGAAGATATTCCAAGATTCTGCATAACCTTACAATTTAAGAGAGTGGTCTTAAGGCTAAGACTATGAGAAATTAAATTCTTGAAATCCAATCATTTTCCATCACTTCTACTAGCAACCAGATCAGATGTCAGTAGTTATTGATAAGGATAAGTAAAATTACTCTGGAAACAAGTAAAATCTGTATCTCAGAGTTATTCCCTGGGCTGGCACAAGTTATAGAAACTGAATTCTGGAGCGCAGGTTACACAAACAGGTTACAGAAGTAAAGGGCAGTTATTATATAGACACACAGTGAAGTAGTACAAACAAGAAAAAAGTCACAAGCCCACCAATAAATTGACATTTGCGCCTTTAGCTTGTAACTGTTAGTGGCACACCCTTGTTCCTAAAAGAAGTAGCATTGACGTTAGCAGAGTACAATCTTTCATATGAAATGTGCACAAATGCAAAATAAATTCAGTTGCAGAACAAGTACCCGCTGGGTAGTTTTCCCATTACTTATGCTAAATCTGACTGCACACTTGGTTTTGGCCTCTTAGATCTATCATGCCAATTCTAAAATTATTTACCTTTGAAGTATCACTTGTTTTTCCCAGGACCATTTTGCCCTTTTGGGAGCCTGCTATAGGGCTGTGTGACTGTTTTTCTCCTGTGGTCCCACTTGATTTAGTAGAGGAAACAGTAGCAGCTTTACCCTAGCATGAAGATTAAAAAGCATTAAAAGCAGAAACATGCAGCAAGGGGATACCTGAAATGCACCATAAAAACGACACAATTGATCAAGGATATCTTTCTATTTACCAAAGCTGTATCTTTCGGCTTTGCCCCAGAGAAACTTGAGGAGCTTGTGGCCTGCTGGAAGAAGAAATATTGTTCTTACTTTAAAAAATTAAATGATGTTATTTTAAAAAATATATTTTGGGGTGATGAAATGTTTTGCAAATCATTTCAGGACATTTTCATTAAATGGTAGCATCCCATGGTATTTTACACTTTTACGTCACTGTTTCATAAGATAATAAAGCATGGATTAAGAAAAAGTTTAGCATGCCAACACTCTTGTTCCATCTATTGACAATACAGAGCACCGCAGTGGTTAGAGCACTCACTTTGCAGGAGCCAGATACATCAGTCACACTTCAATTCTAGGCATGGTGAGAACTTGGTCAAGTTTCTGTACTCCACACTTTGCAAGCGAGAGACCTGAGTTCAATTCCAGGCAGGGTGAAACCTTGGGCAAGTTTCCTTACTCCACACACCTAATAATAATCTCTCCAAAACCAAAAACAATAATAAATTGGTCATTTTCAATCTACGACTGTTTGTGGGACATTGCTGTATGTAATTGGCTGCCGCGTTCGTCCACAAATATACAGTCAATTCACTTTACAGTGTGTTCTGTGAAGTGCTTTGGAACGTCCACCCGACGTGAAAAGCGCTATATCAAATGCAAGGATTATTATTATTATTATTATTATCTCAAACTACTAAGACATAATCAGCAACAATTCAACCCGATTATCGGGTTGAATTATTGGGGTCAATTTCTTTAAGTTCCCAATATAGAGAACCTTGCATTTGTCCATATTGAACTTAATTTCCCAATGATCAACCCAGGTGCACACCTTGGCAAACTTTTTTTTAAAATTGTATTGGGCTTTTTTGATTCCATGAGTCCCTCTATCTTGATGTCATTTATGAATGTAACTAACTTACATTGAGTCCGTAGATCCTAGTTATTGATGTATACGAGGAACAGGAAGGGTCCCAGTTTGATTGCTTCAGAAGAATTTATACACTGTATATTTATTGGCTCTATCACTTTGATTGTTAACTGTAGGTAGAGGTTGTAGCTTACCTTGGCTGCTGGATTTGTTTTGCTCCCTGGTTCCATCTTGGGGGTCGGTTTACCCTTGTGTTGAAATTCAAGAATATTTAGTATTAAAATATTGAGCAAGTGAATGAATTTTTTTAAACAAGTAAACAACCCGATTGTGCTGTAAGCAAAGTCACGCTACAATGAAATGTGGCAAAATGTGTTTCAGCGAGAGATGCAAAGAGTATCAAGACAGCTATTATATGCTCACAGTTACACCCCATGAGAATTGCCCTGGTACACGATCCATCACAACATTAATAATTATCTGCTGGGTCTATATAATTAAAAAGAAAAATTTGTCTGCCCGGATGGCTGAGTCAAATGGCTGAGGTGGTAAAACTCTTGCCCAGGTATTTCTTGTATAGACTTAGTTCTAAGAATCCACACCGATAGGTACTCAGTTGGCAGATCTCCGCTATGGTGAAAGTGCTACAATAGGCTTCAGTTCCACTGGGTTAGAGAAAGTTAGCTTGAGTTTCTTATCTCTGTCCTGTGCTTTTCTACTGGAAGACGTGTGTGTGTGTGTGGTGGTGGGGGGGGGGGGGGGGGGGGTAGAAGAGTGGGGGTAGTTAGGGAGGGATAGGGAGGGAAATGTATTTCACACATAAACAGGATTAACCTGTTTGTCCACATTTGACTGTATGCTGACACTTCATGTCAGACGTAAAGAACATGAAGAAGTCATGTGGATGAGTTATTGAATGACAGTTGGTGCTTTTACTTGACCACAAGTCAGCAACAGAAGCCAAATAGATACTGTATTGGAAAGAAATCAACACTGTGGCTTCAGCACAATTTAGTGCACAATGGTTAAGCCTAGAGATCGCTGTACTCCTAATTGTGGAGAACTGTAAACAGACATCAACAAAATAGCACCATGACTTAATCAGTACTCAGCAATGAGGTATTCACATGCCAGTTCTAAGTTTATAAACAGGCATTTTTCCCTTGCCCTCGCTGGCCTCCATCAAAGATTTGGAAAACCTCCTACAGAGCCTTTGTGCTGACGTCATAAAAGTGTTCAAAACAGAAACTAGCCAATCGCTGTCAACGGAAATTCCACTAGTTCAGAGCAGATTCAATGTGATAAATAGCCCTATGGTTATGAAACGTTGCAAATTTCTGTGTCACTGCCGTCTAAAAACAATTGACACTTGACACAGAATGAGTGAGGCACCTACCTTGCTTGGGTCTGTTGTTTTTTGCACTGTGACTCCCGGTTTTGTGGAGTGCTTTAAAACAGAAGAAAACAAGAAAATTAGGTTCTCAAAATGAAGCAGCTGTAGTTTTGCATTTGTAATGTAAAACACTAGCTACTAATTTATTTTTGGGGATTTCTACATTCAGAAAAGCACAAGAGACTTATACAGATTTAACAGGCTGATCATGTTGTGTGTAAGGAACCTACCCGACCAGTTACAAAATATGTACTTCGACAAGATTTTCTGCACTGCTTGGACCACATATAACATTCACAATCTTGCCACACAATATTCTAAGTCAATTTTCAAAAGTAGTCACAAGCCTTCCAAGAAACATAAACTTGGACTTACCTCAGGATTCCATATTTATTTAACATACAAGTGTAAAGTGTAGTGACTGTGTATTTTGTGGGCAAATTCTGAAAGGCCTGTAGAGAGAAACCATTATTCAAAAACTGTTGGGGGCAGTGGAAATGGAAGTGTCAGTCCTAAACATGTCATTGGGAGCAGATTTTTAAATTCACAAAATGAATGCACCCTCTCTCCTTTTGATAGTTCTCTGATCACTTTCCACTTGGATTGGAAAAGACAAAGACTATTACAAACAAAAACAAATGTTTTTCTCTTTCATATCCCTCAAATCAGAGCGATCTAATTTCCTTTTAAATTTGCTGACAGGCACCACTTCCCATATCCACCCCTCTCTGTTGAAAATTGATAATTTTATGCATGAAGTGTCTTTTTGTCCACAAAATATACAGTCAATTCACTTTACAGTATATTCTGTGAAGCGCTTTGAGGCGTCTCGAAGACGTGATAAGGCGCTATAACAAATGCAAGGATTATTATTATTACATATCTAATCCTGAATGAATATCCTGGGTAGTTCAGTGGGTTGAAACGGGAAGATTCTGAGTTTCAACCTGGGATTTTTAATCAGGTCCATTACCATTCTATTTCTTTAATATTTATAGTAACTATTATACATACAAAAAAAATCCACTGCGGACATTATCAGAAATCCTTTCATCAAACTCAATAATGCAGAAATTGTCTGTTCAAAAAGAATAAGTTCTCTCTCGTTGTCTTTAATCCCTCATGGGAGCTAATACTGTAAATCTATATGCTCACTTAAGCTGTAACTAGTCCCAAAACACCCTACAGTTGTAAACTGTAAAACTGCAACATTGTCCTTTCCTGCTGTAAGCATTTATTTCGCTGTTGAGGCAAGAAAACATCGTTTGGGTTATTCATCATAAAGTGGTGACATTATCAGAGGAGTATTTAACCAACATGTCGAGAGACGACATTTACACCACATACCACACCCAAGTCAATGTAACAAATCATAACTAAAACGCAGGATGGCCACAAATGTGACAGATTCCTGTTTGTGATACACGAACATCTAAAATGTAGAGTCGTTTCACTATGTAATAGTAGAATGTGAATCAGCTGAAACACATAGTGATTTTGCTGCTTTAGTATTATGGAAAACACCCAGAATTTCAGAAAAAGGTAATGCAACAATCCTTCCAACTTTTAAGAGTACAGGGCTTCAAAATAAATGAGCGGCTTGAAGCATCAATGACCATAACCTCTACAAAAAGGATGTGGTAATCCTAAGATTACAAAGGCGGTCCACATTTCACTATCAGAAAAGTCCCTTCTCCTTTCAATCCCTGTGTAGCCAACGCTTTTCACTTTGAGAATCCAAATAACATGGAGCCTCCACCTAACATGGCCTTTCCTGACAAGTAAAAGCAAAGCTGCCCATCCCAGCAAATCCACAGCAGCTGCAAAGCTGCACGTCAGCTGCTGTTGCTTTACCACTTCTGACAGTAAAACAAAACTAGCCGGAGCTTTGCAGCTGGCCCACGTCAGACTGGGTGTATGTTAATCATGTGTGCGCTCTGGTAAAATGAAGGGCTGCAATTTTTGGAAAAGCTTTACAATCTGTGGTTCCTCGATTAACCCTTTGAGTGCCACAGGCAACTTAACTTACTTCAATCAGTAACTTGTTGGCAGACAAGGAACTGAGTAACCCTTAAACAATGGCAGGCAGCACACAATTCCCTGAAGCTGCCCGCGGTTGAATGAATGAAAGAAACTGTCTTGGAACAACAACAAAATTACATGTGGCTTTCATGTGGGGAGGACGTCCCAAGGCGCTGAACAGTCAGGGATGAGGACCTGAGCATGGGGGGCAGGGTTGGGATAAGCGAGAGCAGAGGGAGTAGGAGGGCAGCTGAAGGCACCCTTCTGGAAGTATTATATATGAAAACGATACATTTGGAAGACCAAACATTATCCTTGTATGTACAAGCTTGGATTCATTGATCCAAGGAAATAAAGTTTTTTTTATTGAAACAATTCTCTGGCTAATTTATCCCCTTAGCAAGCGCTTTAGTGGACCTGAAACTTGAAAGTCCACCTAATCTTAGCCTGAAGGATGATTTCATCTTCAAACTTACAAACCTGCAGAGATATGGAAAATTATAAAATTTAGTTTCAATTTGGAAAGTGGAACAAGTTGTAATAGATTCACCCCATATATACAATCCACACACACACACACACTTACTTCACTGCAGTTTCTTTAACAATCTTTGAAGTACGATATTTCACAATTCCAATTCAGATAATTTTGCTCTTTGGTGGAATAAAGAGATTCGGAGAGAGAGAGAGCACAAGATCACAGGTTTAAGGAGAGAATTGCAAAGAGTAAGGGAGTGGGGAGGAGGCATTGACAGAAAGCTCAAGAACCAATGTCATGAGAGAGAAGGCAAAATATGAACAGCAGTTGTGAGTTGAAGAATGGAGGGTGTGGCCCGAATGTGATTGGTGTGTGGATGCAGATTAAGGACAGGATTTGGCTTCTCTGTGATAACCTTACCCACATATCCAGACTTTATTCATTAAAGCGCAGGTTTCATTCTGTTTTAAAACATGCACATGTCATTGGTACCACATACACTCCAACACAGAATCGTTTATACAGTATATTCATGTTACACCCATAGTACTTGATATCTAGACTTTGACTATTTTGAAATGGCCTCATCACTCAGTAAAGGAGATTTCAGGTAGATTTGAATAACACAAAACGCAGCTGGAAACCTAAATAAAGAAATAAGGCTATTCTCAGACCGCCCGACATGTCAGCAAATCCACTGTTTTCACACCAGGCAGATTTACGTAAGCCATTTAGAACCTCACAACCCAGCCCTTTTAAATTCCTTCTGTGGGCAGTTTCAATTGAACCGCACCTCGCATTAAACCTCAAAACAGCTAATCACTGAGTGCTTGTAGAACAGCCCAACCTGTTTCCTTGTGGAGAAAGAAAAAACTATTGCTTCACATCAGTTGGCATTGACTCGGGTTCCCACCGAAATAGTAAGTAACACTACCTTGCATTTGAATTGATACCTCACTCTGAAGTGCACTGAATACGCATTTTGTAAATTAAAGTGGCAACCATTTTGCCACATCTACCCACAACAATGTCCCACAAACAGTCATGAAGTGAATAACTTTTTTTATGTAAAACCAGGGTGTGGTTGTTGGCCAGGAGGGAGAAAAAAAACCCTCCTAGCCTTGAATAGTGTGTGGGATCTTTAACGTTCACCTGAACAGGTAGATGGGACCTCAGTTTAATGTTTCATCAGAAGATAATGAGGTTCACCTATCAGCATTGTATTGGAATGTCAGTCTATGACCTCCAAATCGTTTTATCCCCTCTCCTTAGGGTTGCCACCTCCGAGACATAATTCACTCAGTGTCGCTGCCACATAACACTTCTCCTCTCAGGTCTTCTCGATTTATTTCCTTGAGTGCTATGGTACAAAATGAAACACCTAGCTGGATTGATACTTTTGGTCACAACAGATGTATTTGAAACTGACTCATACAGTAGCTGCACGCGTTGGACCAAATGTTTCACATTTATGTTAGTACCTGCCTGCCACCAACATCCATGCCACTGTGATTTACACTGTGCCATTTCACACTGGCAAGAATGTTGGTGGGAGACAGAGTGAGAGGCCAGTAGGGAATCCTACTGGCAAGCCAGTACAGAAACTGGTTCGGCCTGTTAAAAATTGGACAGGTGGCAACCCTCCCCTCCAGTCTCAGCTATTAAAGGCACTGTAGTATCCAGTGTGAAATGGAGTGCTACAGATTGACAGGCGATATCATTAGCCAAAAGGAGCTATTGGTGCCCACGGAACTGTACTGCAGCACAATTCACAAAATTATATAGAATGCTACAGCACAGAATCAGGTCATTCCAAATATATTGATGATTTCAAGAGTGGAGGAGAGAAAATTGAAATTGGGGCAGGAGTACTAACAACAGCAATAAAATTGCATTTATATAGTGCCTTTCCCATTGGAAGGCCATGCCAAGGCACTGGAAGGCATTGGTTAGAAAAGTATTGGTAAAGTAAACGTTAGAACAAAACGCAGCTGTGACCTGAATTCCAGAAACAATGAATCATCGGCACCATAGTAACAGGAGCATAAACAAAGGGAGGAATAACTGTTTTTTGCTAGAATTGAATTGTATTTCACAGCAGTTGAAAGTACGGAGTCAGTCATAGTAGCTTCACTGTGTGAAAATAGGATAGTTAAATCATGTCACAGTCTCAAGGGATGAAAGCAGTGTCTCAAGATCAAAGCAACGATGGAATTCTGAGGCCACAGTTGGATTTGGAGTGGAACCGCAACAGGATTTGGAGTGGAACAATGACGGGATTTGGAGTGGAACCACAACAAAATATTGCTATAATTAGCACCTTTCATTTTGCGAGGATGTCTCAAGGTGCCGGACAGTTGAGAGTTTGCTCACGAGCTGGAGGTTGGATTTGGGAGAGAAAAAAGATGACCGAATGCATGGTCAAAGAGGAAGGTCTTGAAGTGGCCCTTGAAGGAGCTGAGAGAAGGAGCAAGGTGAAGAGCTCCGGCATGGAATTCCAGAGAGTGGGGACAGATGGAATGGGATTTGGAGTGTTTCAACGAGATTTGGAGCTTGACAACGGCATTTAGAGCTTGTCGGAGTCCATATTTTAAGACAAATTGGGCTAAGACTAGATGAGATATTGTCCAAAGTTTTAAATACAGAGAATTTCACAAGCCCTTCAAGATGTTGTCATGAATGTTAAACACATTTAACGACAACAACAAAATTACATTTGTAAAGCACCTTTCAAGTCGGGAGGACGTCCCAAAGCGCTGGACAGATAAGAGTTACGGACCCGAGCTGGGGGTCGGGGTCGGGGAGGGTGGAGGGCAGGGGGGGAAACAGCGAGATCGAATACACGGTCAAAGAGGAGGGTCTTGAGATGGGTCTTGAAGGTGGCAAGGGAGGGGACGAAGCGGAGGGATTGCAGGATGGAGTTCCAGAGGGTGGGGGCAGAGTGGCAGAAGGCCCGCCCTCCAATAGTGGGGCGAGCGAGGCGGGGAACGTGAAGCAGGCTGGAGCCCACTGAATGGAGGGAGGGTGCAAGATGGTAGGGGCTTAGGAGGTCGCAAGACCATGGCGGGGAGCAAGACCATGGAGTACTTTGAAGGCGAGGACCAGGATCTTGAATTGTATCCTCTGTGTGATGGGAAGCCAGTGGAGTTGGGCAAGGATGGAGGTGATAGGGTCGCGGAAGAGGACACAGGCTGCAGAGTTCTGGATGATCTGCAGCCTATGGAGGGAGGAGTTGGGGAGGCCGACAAGCAATGAGTTTGCATAGTCGAGCCTTGATGTAATGAAAGCATGTATGAGGGTTTTGGCGGCCTGCGGTGTGAGACAATGGCAAAGTAAGGTGATGTTGCGGAGGTGGGGGAAAGGCAGAGCGGGTCATGGCACAGATGTGGGGTAGAAAGGGTAGTTGAGAGTCAAACAAGACACCAAGGTTCTGGACTGGCTTAGTGAGATGGAGTGTGCAACCATGGATGGTGATGCTGTCAGCGCCTGAGGTGAGGAGGTGCTGACGAGGGCCAATCAGGAAAGCCTCGGTATTGTTGACGTTCAACTGAAGAAAGTTAGCTCTCATCCAGGACTTGATGTCTGACAGACATTCTGTCAGGACAACAGTGGTCCTGGAGTCAAGGGTGGAGGCAGAGAGGTACAGTTGGGTGTCATCCGCATACATGTGGAAGTTGACCCATGTCTGCGGATAATGTCACCAAGAGGGAGCATATAGATATTGAAGAGGAGGGGACCAAGGACAGAACCCTGAAGAACGCCGCATGAGATGGTGCGGGAGCTAGAGGAGAAGCTGTTTGTGGAGATGAAGTGGAGGCAGTGTGAGAGGTACGATCTGAACCAATCAAGGACAGAGCCGTGAAGTTTGAGGTGAGAAGAGAGGCGGTAGATGAGGATAGAGTGGTCGATGATGTCGAAAGCAGCAGAGAGGTCAAGGAGGACGAGGAGGCAGAGGGAGCCCTGGTCGCAGATGGACAGAATGTCATTTGTCACTTTGACCAGGGTGGTTTCTATGCTGTGGGAGACACGGAAGCCCGATTGGAGGGGTTCGAGAAGGGAGTGGCGGGAAAAGAAGGAGCGAAGCTGAGAAGCAACAACTCATTCCAGGATGTTGGAGAGGAAAGGGAGGTTGGAGATGGGGCGGTAGTTTGGGAGTAGAAGGGTTCAGGAAAGGTACTTTAAAGATAGGAGTGATGATGGCGGCTTTTAATGGGGTGGGAACAGTACAAGAGGACAGGGAGATGTTTATGATGTCATAATATTTCTTAACATTTCTTTGGGCAAATTACAGAATAGAATCGCACATATACACAGAGAAAATGTAAAAATGCAAATTACAGAATAGAATCGCACATATACACAGAGAAAATGTAAAAATGCTTACAGTAGAGCTATTGAACCAGGAACAAACATGGGTGAGAATACTGAAGAAGGTGATGGGACTAAGGAAGTCAATGATTGAATCCAGATGAAAGCCAATTCCAAATTGCTAAATATTTAATCCCTCCTCCTGCCTGAAGTCAGAGGACTGAGCTCCAAGAATCAGATGTACTCTGACAAAATGGTTAATTTCCTCAAACAGATCTCAGCATGCTTTAAAACTTAAAACCACGTAGTTTAGAGAATCTTATTCGGGCCGGGTGCTTACTCAATCCCTATTAAAATTATACTACAGGTCATTTTTTTCTACTGAAAACAATAGCTGATAAATCTACTGAAATCCTCACGCAAAATACCATCACTCTGGATATAGCACTTTTTCTCCAACAGTAGTTATTGGAAAAAATTAGCAGCTTTTAGTCATCTTAACACTTTTGTAAAATAAAAGATCACAAGTTTATCTCTTGTCTTTGCAGTTAGTTCATTTATAATAACGACAACAATAATCCTTACATTTGATATGGTAGTGGGAGAACAACTCAAAGAACTTCACAGGATTTTGCTGTAAAGTGCAATGACAATTTGTGCAGTAGAGTCCAGTGTATTTTGCAGGTGAACGTGGCAGCCAATTTGCACACAGCAATATCCCACAAACAGCTATGCAGTAAGATGGACAATTTCATTTGGGGGATTGTCAGGCAGGATACGGGGAAATGCTCCCTTATTTTAAATTGTGCCATGGGATTTAGAATCTCCATCCAAATAGGCATCTTAACATCTTATGCGATGGTTGACACCTTCCAATGATGCAACTCTAGTAATGCATTGGAGTATCAGCCTAGCCCTGATATGGGGCTTGAACCTACAACCTTCTGACAGACAGGTGAGAGCGCTACCAACTGAGCCAAGCTCACATCTATATAAATGTCAGCAAAAAACATTTAAAGTCCTTCAGCTATTATGTTGGAACGTATCTTCAGAAATTAGCTTGACAAGAATTGAATCCAAATGTATTCATTAAATGTGATTAAGCCATCACTTGGTAAAATCCCATTTCCATATGTCTCTTTCTTAAACCAAAGAAGACCCTTACAACAACAACAACAACAACAAGATTGCATTTATGGAGCGCCTTTCACGTCAGGAGGATGTCCGAAGGCGCTGGACAGTTGGGTCAGGACCCGAGCAGGGGGGAAATGGTCAGGGTGAGGGGAGAGAATGGAGGGGGTAGAGAGTCAAGAGGGGAGCTGAAGGCACGGTTGAAGAGAAAGGTCTTGAGACCAGCCTTGAAGGAGGAAAGGGAGCAAACAAGGCGAAGGCACTGGGGGATGGAGTTCCATAGCCTAGGGGCTAAGAGGCTGAAAGCCCGGCCACCGATGTTAGGGCGGGGGATGTGGAGCAGACCGTAGCCAGAGGAACGGATGGTACGGGCAGGTACATGGGGGGATAGTAGGTCGGAGAAGTAGGAGTATTACATTTAATAGAATACTTTTCACATTGGTAGGACGTCTCAAAGTGTTTGACAGGATATTATGCAAAGTGTGTGTTTTGAAGGCATTCTGTTGGCTGCTTAAAGCTAAACATACCTTGCTCGCCAAACTTGCTGCTTTAGAAGTGTCGACTTTACCAGAATGACCAGCTTTTGCCTTTACCTATGGGGTAAGAAACCAAAAAAATTTGTAATTAATACAAAATTTCAAGAGAATCCTTAAAGGCATCAGGGGTGACACAAGAAGCAATTTAGGCAGGCAGATAGCCTGAAAGCTGCAGAAGGAAAAACATACTGCATTCAGAGTAAGTGACATTGAGCAATGCCAACACTGACTACCACCGATATGTTCTCGGCAATAGGTATGCGTTGATGGGTCAGTATGTCATTTACCAGGAGTCAATGCAACCGGTAACTTTTGTGAGTAATGGAAGTTAGGGGAGACCCATTACGAGTTAGGAGGTGATTAATACGAGTAGTGCAAAGAAATCTAAATAATAATCCTTGCATATGATAAAGCACCAAATCACATCATTGAGACGTCTCAAAGCGCTTCTGTAAAGTGAACTGACTGTATTTTGTGGTTGAAACACGGCAGTCAATTGTGCACAGCAGTGTTCCAAAACAGTCGTGGATTGAATGACTAATTTATGCTTATTTATTTAGTTAGAAAGACCCCCACTGAAATGGAGTTGGCCTCAGCAGTCCTGTCACACAGTAACCCCACATAGACCACTAAGCAGTGGATGGGAAATATAAAGGAGCAATGGTTTTGATAGGCAACTATCAAAGAACTAAATGGGACTCGGATGGCTGTACGACCTAGACAATTATACAATTTATAAAGGTAAGACTTAAGCAAGTTTTACCGTATCTGAAACAGAAATGTGAGCCTTGAAGCAAATAATAAATATATACTGTAATGTATATTCTGTGAATCTGAAGTAAAATAGAAAAACAGATTAAATCCATCTGTCTGATAAACAATATATTCTGCCAAGAAGCTAGGCTGCTACATTGTTTATTAAAAGACAACACTAATTGTACAAATGGTGACCCAACCAGGGTAGTTTAGGACCACGTGGTTTGCATTAACAGTTGATGCTTTTTCTGATAAACAATGTATTTATATTTCCTCTATCAGCAGCTCGAGGAGGCAGTCTAATAAATAGGAAGTTAATGTACTGTAGCACCACTTTTGTTGGAAGGAATACTTAGGGCAGAGCTTTGGAAATGGGATGTCCAGTAGTTTTGAAATGAAGTGAAAGTCATAAACAATTTCCATGATTGCCAGTGGGGAAATTTACCCCTCATTAATTCACCCACTGTACTAAATCAAACAGACCAAGAAGTCCCAAGGATTAATCGGAACTGCTGAATTAGCACATCGCAAAAGAGTGGCAATGAAGACATGAGAATCATTCTTATTTTCCATAAAACTGAAACAACGACAACTTGCATTTATGATGCCTTTCATAAAAGATAATATCTTGGAATGTTTTACAGGGGCTGGGTTGGCTGCCAAGAAAGGGAGAGGAAAGTTAGCCATAGGTGCATTTGGAAAGGTAGGATTTATGGTTATAATGGCCAGTGATTCTACATGTCTGTGTGGGGGAGAGAGAGAGGGGGGTAACTTCAGTACAAAGAACAAAAGTGCTCATCGTCCTAGCTTTGATCCATTCCAGAGAGACCAACTTACACATTTCCAACAAGATTTGATTTCTTTGCTAACTCCCATACAAGTACAGACACAATCCCATCACTGTACTTGACCCTACCCTGATGTCAAAGCCAGAAAGGCTGGTTAAATTAAAGACATAGAACTCTTGAAAATAAAGGTAAAATTGTCCCTTCAAAAAATTTAATTCCTTACTTTTTTTTAAGGAAAGAAAACATTACGAGGAAGAGTCTCAGCTAAATACATGATCCAGGTCCAAAACGACAGGCCCATTGCTTGACATCAGCTCTATGTATCTTTGTGTAACACAGCCAGGTAATGTAAGGTATCCAATTATACGCATTGATCATACAACAACAACCTGCATTTATATAACATTACATATGGCCCCTTACCCCTCCCTCTCTCGGCATCCAACTCCGCCCATGTAAAGCGCACATAGATATTCTCTTTTATGAAAGGCATTCTAGAAATGTAAATTGTTGTTTCTTTGTATAACGCACCCAGCCTCCGTCCTGAGGGTTTTCACCACAAACAAGCAAATAAAGAAGCTTGATCTCGCAAAATAACTCTGTATAACAACAACTGGCACTTTAGATCACATTTCACTGAGATAGCGTGGCAGATGTTGGGCAGGGGTGTTGGTGTGGGTAGGAGAAAGGTTAATCAGGTTTTTAAGACGGTTTTGAAAGCAGAGAAGGAGAGTGCAAGACAGAGGCAGTTATGGACAGAGTTCGCGAGAGCATTATATAGTTCACCAAAAAACAAGTTGCATGTATATCATGCTCTTCATGTGAGGTAACATTTCAGAGTGTTCAGAGTAATAATAATAATACTTGCATTTGATAGAATGCTGTAACATTGAAACGTCTCAAAGAGCTTCACAAATAATTACCGTTAAGTGTAGACAAAGGCAGCAGCTAATTGTAATGCAAGTGGCCTCAAAAGGGCGCACAGCACGGCAGTACTGAAGTATGGAAGTGGACCTGAAGTGACTTCACAGATTACAGTTAACAGTTCCCTCCCACAAATCCTCCATGAAACACTGCTGTGTGACTCAATGTTTGGCACAGCCATGTAGTTTGACGTCCCAGCAGTCATGGGACGGCTTAGAAAGTAGTTCTGTGTAACTGTACACTCCGAGTGAGATATTCAAGAACCAAGATTAAGATACTATGCAACACAACTAGCCGTAAGTGATTTAGTTTTAGACTCAACACCCTTCCAGTTCATATCTGTATCATCTGTTCCATGTTACATTCCTGCAAACTTCCATTCACCCAATTTCTGCAGTGCAGCAGCTTTCCTGTGTTAAATCCTTCATGGCTATGCCAATTAACATTTCTGGTATGAAGTCAATCATTTATTGAGTCAGGTTTGTCCCAGTTCAGTGCAGTGCATACATTCCAGTGAGACATTACTACAAGAAAAATCAAGCCCCCAAAAAGCAAGCTAGGATTCATACAATATGAAAATAACCTGTGTGCAGGATTTTGAAAAATTAGTTCTTTCAGTACTATGTATGAATTTAAATTCTAATACTGTACTTTCCTATCTGCTGCTGCTTATTTTATCTCAGCTGGGTCAGAATACCCTCAATACATTGCTTCTCTCCCTTCCTAGTGGGAGTATATCTCAACTATGGGTTTGACATACAGTTGGTTGGTAGGGAGTGCTTTAGCAAACATTCAACAAGCACTTATAAATGACAGGTCAATCTATAAATAGATCAGAAGAAATGTAAACACATTACCACCACTTGTGTTAACAGTCACTCTATGAGAGAAATTCCCTTGACCCATATATCTTTTATAAGGCAAGGTCAGAGCAGACACTAGGAAGTACTTCTTCACACTGGAGGAATGAGTTACCAGCAAGAAAGAGAGCAGCTAGGACACTGGAGTTGCTGAAGAAACATTTTGATATTTTAATGGGATATAAGTAGGGTTCTTATTGAGTAAGGACGAGATCTCATGAGCCGCGCGCTTCTAGGCATCAGAAGATGGTGTTTTGCTCTTCAGTTTTTTTCTGCACTAACAAACTTCAGCATTTCCTTTTATGAATATTGCAAATTAGATGGCTTTTTCAAAATCTCACTTTCAAAATAGAATTTGAAAATCAGGTTAACAGTGTTGATTGCGACTTGCAGTTTGAGAATATCAGATTGCAAAATTCACGCTCAGTGAACAACAAATCCCCATGTCAGCAAAGTCCAAAATCAGGTTAGCAGCCAAACCTCACTGTGCATTCAACATTCATAACCAGAAGTCACAACTAACAACAAATCTGTTTATAAATGCCGCAAATTAGAACTCAACACACTTTTTCCTCCAATTACTGTGGAAATAATACATGTAATTTTTCACTATGGGCCTCAACACGCTTTATTTTCTGCTGCATTCAAAGAACAAATATTTAGGAATTAAAAGCTAATTCAGCGCCAGTTTTATCAGAACTGCAGGTCTGCTTAGCAACTGAAGTCAATAGAGTTCATTATTACTTGTTTGATCTGTCATTGTTGCTAAGTTGCATCTTTTACTTAACTTTTACTAATATTGAATGTGAACCACCCGAGAAAAATAATCAATCAGCAAAATACTACAGAAACGAAACTGCCCTTTCAGCCCATTATGCCTGTACTGTTGTTTTACTACATATAAAAAAATAATCCCAATATTCAAACATCTATTCCCGGCAGGGCGAAACGTTTGGCAAGATACCTTACTCCACACGCCTCTGTTTACCTAGCAGTAAGTAGGAACCCGGTTGTTAGTCGATTGGCGGATCGCTTTTCCGTGGATGATAATCCTTCAAAATAAAACAATAATAATTTGGTCACTCAATCCACGACGGACACTGCTCTGCACATTTGGCTGCCGCGTTTCACAAAGTACAGTCAATTCACTTTACAGGATATTCTGTGAAGAACTTTGAGATGTCTAGAAGATGTGAAAAGCACTATATCAAATGTAAGGATTATTATCGTCTATTCAATTTCATAGTCAGACAATGCCACATTTATTGATACATAATAGCCAATATGTTTCCAACTGCAATCTATAAACTAGAGCAGTTTAAACTAGAGAGTCTCGGATGGCCTCACCGTCATGATGCAGTCAATTAATCAATCAAATTAAAAATCAATCCACTTGCACTATGTTAGCTGATCTCAGTCACAGTGATGATGAGACAATATCCCTACACAATGGGAGGGGGAACAGGGAAATCAGGTTCCTGCTCCTGATCACAATACAGTGTGCGCACTGCTGGTCGGCAATGTGTGGATAGCAGCATGCGAGAACAGAAACGGGGTTAGTTTTAATAGCATCTATCTCACAGTCAAATAGCTCATTCCCCAGCCTTATCCATGAACAGCAATCACTTGGCTAATTTGCTGCTACCCATGTTAGACCATCTCTTTTCAGGGAGACAGAATCGTCTTACCAAGGCCAATGCTTTGAAACAGAGTAAGCTTCACCTGTATA